AAAAAGAAGAAAAAAAAAGAAGAAAAAAAAAGAAGAAAAAAAAAGAAGAAAAAAAAAGAAGAAAAAAAAAGAAGAAAAAAAAAGAAGAAAAAAAGAAGAAAAAAAAAGAAGAAGAAAAAGAAAAAGGTCCAGGGCTGGGCTTCGTGTCTACACGGAATAAATGATCAGCGAAACACAGTGGCTGAAATAGATGATTCCATCTCTTCATAGTTAAACAACCTGCGGTCTTAGCGAAAGACGTCCTGCAAAGTAGGGCAAAGGTTCAAGAACTTAAAGCCCCGAGTACCCATTCTTCATACTCTATGCGTCTAGGGATTTCAGGATCTGGCTGGCTTACAACGCATTTGCTGATCAACTCGGAACGAACGTTCATTAACACCCTAGGCCATCCGCCGCGAGAATTTCACCTGTTATCGTGCGCTTTGGCAGAAACTGGTGTGAATTGTCCAGTTTGTCGGTAGACGTAAATTCCTATTTGTATGCTACGAGATTAACATGCAGAGGACCACAACTCTTAACTTTGGACTGCTCCGGATTCCTATCTTTTTGTAATTAAAATTTCCGACATCGGCACTTATTAACAACTCGCTAGGGACAATAAATAACCCGTGTTAGAAGACAAAGGTGGTGATAAACACGGCCAGAAGCCCAACAGCTATGGCGTATCCCCTGCCGGCCACCCGGACGGCTGAATTCTCATCATCTCCATCGTCGGCCAAGCCAGTGGGAAGAGGCGCAAGCCCCCCGCTCGCGGGACCTTCAACGCCGATAGCGCCTGTCGGAAAGATGATGGACGTTTGCAGAGTGACGCTCCCCGAGAGGAGAGATGCTATGGCAATGGGATCAATACCATTGCTGAAGCTTGGAGCAGTCGGAGAAGGGGCGGAAGAGACTTGGCTGTTGGTTCCGTCTTGGGTTTCGTCGTTGTCGGGGGAGTCGCCGTCTTCGCTTCCGCCGCTCTCCCCATCAGTGTTATTGTCGCTTCCACCTGTCCCTTCTTCGGGATTTTCTTCGCTTTCACCACTCCCATCTTCGGAGTTATCTTCACCTCCCCTGTCTTCCGGGACGTCCGAGTTGTCGTTCTCGCCTTCGTCGTTTTCCTCCTCTGGCTCATCTGCACCAGGTAGAGGCTGAAGCTCATCTAGAACAGGAGAATCGTCGCCACTGCCTAGTCCGCCGTCATCGGGCGTGATGCCCGATTCAATGGGCTGCAAAGAGTCTATAGGAGTCGGGGCGTTGTCAGTAGGAAGGGGGCCTTCGGGGAGGGTTGCCGGGGGGGTACCGTCCCCAAGAACGTCGGAACGAACAGGGGAAGATAAGGCAGGTTGTGTAGAGACATCGGAAACAATGTCTTCAAAGGGGAAAGAGGTGGGAATCGGGATGTCGCTGAGGACGTCGGATATGATGATATCAGAGATGTCGGAAGGCAGAGCGCTCGGGATGACTGGTGGGATACTAGACGGCACAATAGACGGTAATCCAGGGAACGTTCCGTTGGATGGGATGGTGGGCAAGAGAACAGCCGGCTCGTCGGACTCAACGGGCTGTCCCGTGCTAGGTTCTGCCAACTCCTAGGTCTTGTCAGTGGTCTTATTCTCTGGTTGATAGTGGAAATAAGTTCACGAAAGGCTTACAGGGAGCCCACTAGGGAGGCTAATCGTGTCAGTAGGAATAGCGAGGTCGGCGGAGATAGTTGACTCAATCGGCTGTCCAGGGTCGAGGAGCTCGAGGCCATCCGAAGGCAGAGGATCGAGAAACTCAGGAGCATCCGAAGGTAGGGGGTCGAGAAGCTCAGGAGCATCCGAAGGTAAGGGGTCGAGGAGCTCAGGAATGTCCGAGGGGAGAGGATCGAGAAGCTCCGGAGCATCCGAAGGCAGAGGATCAAGGGGAGGAATTGCATCTTCATCTCCGCCCTCGCCCCCTTCCTCGATGATGGGGAGTTCGATGGGTAGCGGTAATAGCTCGCCGGCGGGGGGCTGGAATCCAGGGAGCGGCCTGAGCTCCGCACCTTGTTCGCCCTGGCGAGCGCCCTCGGGGATTCCATCTTGGCCAGGGATTATCACCCCAACTTCACCTCCGTCTATTTCAGGCTCAGTCACGGCCGGTTCTTCCACGACAGGCTGGTCAATGGGAAACTCGACAGGAACATCCTCTCTCCCATCCTCTTCTAGCGGCGGTATCTCAACAACAGGAGGCTCGAGAATAGGTAGGTTGACAAGAGGTGGCTCTCCAATCTCTGGAACCTCTGGGCTGGGACTTCCGTCCTCGGGGACGACAGGCAGAATCTCGTCATTAGTATTGTCGAGTGGTGGCAGAATGGGCAGTTCTGGCAGGGCTGGAATTTCAGGGACAACCGAGGGCAGGCCGACCACTGGGCCTGCACTCACATCTGCACTAGGAGCAGCAAGTTGCGCCCTGCAAAGTGAGGCACCCAGAAGAAGGGCGAAAGATCTGATAGAAGACATAGTGAAGGGATTAGAACGGTAACGATCGCTGTGGCCGTCGAGGCCAGACTCGTCTGAAGAATTACAAGAAAACGGAAGGATGGCCAGATCCGACGAATCGAAGAAGCAAATAAAAAAAGCAAAGCTGGACTAAATAAGGCCCCAGATGGCAAAAAAAGAAAAGAAAAAAAAAAGAGAGAAAAAAAAGAAATAGTATCCAGAAGAAGAGAAGAGAGCTGGCCTGCAGTCCGTGATGAAGCGAAAGTTGAAAAGAACAATGAAGAAAGGGAACGACGAGAAGAAACAAAAGGTCCACAATGAGATGGATGGGACAAGAAGGAAAGGAGAATATTGTAAAAGACGAACAAAAAATAACGATTAATTAGGATCGGGAAATAACGCTACAATGGATGATCACGGACGTACATAGACGCAGATGGGAAACTGTCGGTTTGGTGATGCCATACAAGATCCGCGACAGCCACCGTCTGATGTACCCACCCACCCTGGAAGACAGGGTCCCAGACCACTCCGTGCCCCTACAATAACCACGCACACTCGGCTTGACATGTGTTCTAGAGCCAGTGATCAACGTCTCATCTGGTCAACATATACCATGGCCACGTCGCAGGTGTGTTCACTCCCGGTAGCTTCTAAAGTATTCCAATAAATAGCTGGTCAGATTGGCTTAAAAGGTGGTCGAGAGCATACGGGCCTCGCAGCTCGGCCTTCCGGCAGATCAGATTCACCCAAAAGATCAAGAGTCTGACATCCGTACTCCTCTCAATGAACATGGCTATCTGGGTGACAGAAGGTCGGACGGATTATACATCGGGTCAAGCGAGGATGGCATGGCTGTTACGCAAACTCCGTCCGTACTCCGTATACGAGTACACGATGACGCTTTCATAAAGGCGACAAGTGAGCTTGAAAGCCCCAAGTTCAGAGAGCCGGAAATGAATAGATGAAGCAGTGCGACGAAACATGACCCCGTTGAGGCTTGAAGCAGCCCAAACGGAGCTTGACCCCTGAGGTCCGAGGCCCGACCCACTGTTAGTAGTCTCCATACCCCCAACGCCCAAAACCACTAACGCATCTCAGACCCTCTTGGCATCTTCAAAAGGTACATATACCCCAAGGTAGGTATCCGTACATCGGTCACAACGACCACAACGGCCCAGACCAAATGTCCATCGTGTACGCCCCAGCATCTCTACGGTATCCAGAGCGCCATCCGTGCGTCCCTGAATCCATAGTCCCTGTAACCGCCACGGAAAAAGAAAACAGAATAAAAAAGTCCAGTATCCGTAAGAACTGTACTAATTACTTCATGCTCAAGTTTTGTTTACTTGTTCTCGAGGAGAGGGGGAAAATGACAACTCGCCCCATATCTCGTTCGTTTGATGAGGCGACTCCTAAACGCCTTCTGATTGATTCTCCCCTGGTGTATTTGTGTTCGTCCCGCCTACACCGTGGAAGGCATCTCCGAATGCAGAGCCTTCCATGTCCATATTTAGATCCAGCCCCTCTCCAAGCGACCCAGCTGCACCGTCCAGGGCTGGTGGTTCATAGCTTGCAAGCGCATCTCCCGCAGTGTCGAGATCCCCCAGAGAGCTGAAGTCGTTAGCATCTCCCTCAGTTACCGCTGGCGTTCCCACCGCCGAGGCCTGTCCTGTCGCCGGGCCTCCTCCCGTCGCCGCTGGCGTGCTCGGTTTCGGAGCTTGAGTGCCAGCGCCGTCGCCCGTAGTAACCCCCGCGCCTTCCGGTGAAATACCGCCCTTAGGCACCATGACCCACTCCTCACCACCAGAACCTTGGTTGGGATTGTTGGGCGGGACTTCTTTGTTCATCTCTGTCTCCGTATTGCCCATGGTGACATCCCGGGTGTTGTTGTCATTACTGTCGGGCTCTCCTTCGGCGGCGGAGGAAACCGGCGCGGGAGACTGTGCATCGGCGTTCATAGGTGTCGCCGCGTTAGAATTCATAGCTGATAAATTCGCTTGCGGGGTAGGGAAACTGTTTAGCGGAGTCGAAGTGTTCGAGAGGCTGGCATGCATCTGGTCCAAGAGGCCGGCTGCAGTGCCACCCATATCGATATCCGCGTCTCCCACCATGACGCCACTGTGCTGCGATCCGGCCTGCGATGGGCGACGGGATGTACCGTCGTTGGAACCGGAAGGTCCGGCGCCCACCACTGGCGTTCCTGCCTGTATTTGCGGCGGTGATGGGCCCTTGGCCATCTCCGGGGCCGGTTCCTGGAAGCCGCCATCCTGGATTCGGTTCACCTCGTGGAGCACTGCGATCCGCCGGCCTACATGGGCCTCTACCTGGGCCACGATCTCGTCGACCTTCTTGTTATGGCTTTGCGACCATGAACCTTCACTCTGATCTTTCGCATCGGATGTTCTGCCTTCAAGTCTCCACAGTTCCGGACCCTGTTCATCGACGGCGTTTCGAAGGTCCCTGTCTGCATTCAATAGCAAAGAACCAGCCTTGAACTTTTGCATGGCCTTGGCGTGGTCTGCCTTCAGCTTTTCTATCTCTGCTTTCGTGGAACTAATGTGTTTCTCGGTTCGCTTCCTGAACTCGGCGGCTAGCCCCGGGTCCAAGTGGCCAACATAAGGTTTATCTGGTATCTGCGACATGGCGTTCGCCCCGGGTGCATCGAAAATGCCTTCGGTCACGGATCGCAGCTCGCCCTTGAGGCCCAGGCCAAGGTCGGAGGGGACAATATGAGAGATAGGATAGGGTGACGACAGGAGCTCTTCCATCCAACTGTGGTTTTGCCGGTACCGAGCGTAGGCGATGTCCCGAGGGGTCAGAACATCGAAAACGTCCCTTTGCTCTTCCTCCAGCGCATCGGGGAGGGGTCCCACTTGCGCATGCGCATGCGCCTGGGCTTGCGGTTGTCCCCCCCGGGGACGCTTCATGGTTTGGGTCACCGCGTTCTGGGCGGGGTATGCCATCTGGGCCGGTATGCGTTTTGGTTGCCCTGCCGCTGCGCCGCGTCCTCCTGGCTGCGGAAATGATATCTGGGGCCAGTTGCCCCGATCCGAAAGCATGAAGTCTTTGCGCGTAATTTGGCCGCAACTCTGCAGGAAGTTCCGCTGCGTCATCATGGTCTGGGTTTCCGGCAGGAACGGAATCATGTTGATGGGTAGGCAATCCTGCGCCTCGGCACGTCCATAATGCACGATCCAAAGACTGATGTCCGGCTGAGGTGTGTTGATGTTGCCCGATTGCGAGGGGACGAGCCGAAATCGTCGGCGGGTGCGTGCGCCTACCTGGTCGCCGGGTGCGAAGCCCGACTTGTTGTAATAGATCTCGAGCATCTAGCAAAGACTGTTAGATGGTGTCACAGGCATGCAAGGTGAGCTCAACACGAGTCACGTACCAGGCCATTGCCCACGTCGCTGCGGAAATATTGCTCCGGCGCCCATATAATCCCATCGCTGGCGAAGTGCGTCCCCAGCCTCTTAAGTGGTTGCCATGTGAGTAGTATGTGGCCTTCGCTGGGTCGGTCGAGGTATGTCCAAAAGAAAGGCGCCTTGTCCTTAGCGATCTGTGGTGCCGCTAGAAGCCATTTCGTGACTTGATTAAAGTCGATCTGTGCTTGATGGGGGTACTGGTTGGCAGAGACGAGATGGATATGCCGTAGCTAGAGAAACCCCGGTGAGCATTAGCATTTTCATCGGTAACGGAATGGCTTTCCGTTCTTGCAATCCATGGGCAAAGCTCACCAACTCTGGGTCAATTCCATCGCTAGGGTCATGCATGGGTTGTTGTTGCGCCATGGTGACCGCAAACCCGTAAAGCGCGATGTCGTCCTGGAGGCTTAAAAAGAGAGTGGATGGGTAACTAATTGGTCGACTTGGAGTGAACTCGAGATACGTCTTCGCGTCTTCGAACTACTTTTCGCGTTCGCGAATAGGCTATTAAGGGCTACCAGGTGCTTCGTTGATTATTGGCAGGAAAAAGAGTTGACGCAGCTGTCGCACGTCAAATAGGCACTTGAATGATTAACTTAGTAGAGCAGAAATCTCGTGTGTGTGTATTATGTTAAGTTACATCTAGGAGAGTCTCTTATGCCCTTAATTTGGGTGGTGAAGACTCCGTTATGGGTACTATATCATTTGGATCCTATCCGGTCTTTTCCGGTATCCACCCTTATTATATCCTGATGCCCGAAGTCCCTGATATCCGGAGCCCTTAGTTATAGAGTGGATCCCCCCTAGATCCCCTATAGGCTATATCGTGGTCCTGCCTATATAATATACCCCCTTAGTTAAGGTGAGTCTTCTCAGGTTAACTAACTAATTAGAGGCTTCGGTTTAAACTAAACGCTCTTAACTTTTTCATCGTAAAATTAACAGTCAGGGGAAAACGCCCTCGTAAAAGAGATCTAAATCCGCCCTATTTAACTGTTTAATTTAATTCCATCTTAATTAGTTCCTCGATCCTGATTAGCCGGATCTATTTAATCGGATCTATATCTATTGGATCTACTACACCCTCGGGGGCCTTCGTTATTACTACGGCCGTGGCTTTAGCGCGTTTAATCTCTTCGTGTAGTCGTTTAGACCACTCGATACGGTCCTTTTAATCCGTTAAATTAAGCTATTACTATAGTCTTTTAATTCCTGCCTCCGGTAATACCTTCGTTAAACCGTCCGCGATTATCTCCTTCGTATTAACGTACGTGACCTTAAAGAGGCCCTGCTATACTAACTAACGCGCCTACTAATTATAAATATCGACGTGCCGTAGCCTTATTCGCAGGCGTTATGCCTTCTTATTAACGAGGTTAATAGTCTATTAATTATCGTAGTATAGCTATAGCTATTATTAGTCTAGCCGAAGCTCTAAATCCCTTAATATCCGGCTAACGAATAGCGTCTCCTTAGCTACCTCGGTAAAAGCGAGTAGTTCCGACTTTATTAACGATATCGTGACCGTCGGTTATTTACCCGCCTTCTAGTTAACGGTGCCGCCGAAAAGCTTTATCGTATATCCTTATAAGCTCTTACGGTCTGGATTATCCCTAAAGGACGCGTCGCTTACTATTAGAAAGAGTCTATCCCCACCGAATTCTAAGCAGTGGTGTCTTATATAGTATAGGAATAGCAGTACTTATTAAGCCCTCTTAAGGTGGTTAGAAGAGGGGTCAACGTTATATTAGAAAAGCTTTAAGTAGGCGAACGCGATATCGGGTCTTATTACGATAGCGGCGTATAGGATAGAACCGATTATTCCCTAATACTAACGGACCTCGGGAATCGACGCGCGGGTGCCGTCTCGGGGCATTACCGGCTCTGTAGATAATAGGACCTTTAATGGTTTTCGGCAGAGTATATCTGCGTAGTATTTAACCGCGATCTTCTCTATATAGGAGGATTATAATAACCTACGGGTGGCTCTATCCCTTAGGACCTTAATTCCTAGGAACTAACGAATTTCTTCGCCTCCTAATAACCTATAGCTTCGCTTAAGGGCAGCCTCGAGGTCGTCGGCGTCTGTCTTACGGTCTCTATAGTATATAAGTCCGATATCGTTAACGTAGAAGAATAGGATTAAACCGTCGGGGATTATAATATAGGGGTTATTAGGGACGGCTATAAAGCCTATCCTCTATAGTGTACCGCTAAATTCCTCTTACTATAGTAGTAGCGATACCCTTAAACCGAAGAGGGCTTTCCGTAGTAGCAGGACCTTACCTAGTACTTCGTAGCCTTACGGTATCTTTATAAACACCTCTTCCTTAAGGCTAGCGTTAACGAACGCGTTAATAGCGTTGAACTGCCTTATCTCTAGGTTAAATCGGGCGGCGATCGCTATTAGTATATAGAAGGACCGCGAGGCTAGCGTTACGGCGTAGTTATCTTTAGTCTTTAACCGTTTTTATTAATCCCCTCTGACTATAAGGCGTGCCTTATACTTAAGGAGGGTGCCCTCCTTATTCAATTTATAGGTGTATACCTATCTATAGACGAGGACTTATTACTTATTAGCCTAATCACTACTTACCTCCTACTAGCAGTCTATCTATCAGTACCCCTTAAGGTATTCCCCCTCGGCCTATAACTACTGCTCCCGTAACGGGTAAAGGCGTATATCGCGGTGGTAGTTTAGTGGAGGCGGGAGATCCTCGCAGGTTATATACGATAGTGGCTAGGAGATATAAGGGGGATCTATAGTACCGATATTGCTGTCGTTAATAGCTTACTTCCTCGTGCGTATAGGGTTATAAGTCCTGCTAGCGTTAAAGAACGCCTTTTAGGCGTTATCGTTCTAGACCTTCTTAGTCGTGTATAGACTTACGATAGTTCTCGCGATAGATAGGCGCGCGGCCGATAGGCGTGCGGCGGATAGGCACCCCCTTAAGGGTATCCGCGGCTATCCGTTAGTGGTTATCGTGTTCTTCCACCTTAATTCCCCTAACCACCGCTAACGCTATAAGGAACGCGCGTACGGGATCTTTCGGGGATATTAAAGGCGTGGGAAACGGTTTAAACCTTATAGTAGTAAACCGTAAAGTGTCCGTAGTAATAGCGGTAGCCTTTCCCATAATAATAGCGGTAGCGTTAGAGTTACGAGGTTCTAAATCTATAGCCTAGTTATTAGACTATAGATTTAGAACCTTATCTATAGTAATAGTAGTAGCCTCTCTCGTAGTAATAGCGACGGCCTCGCCTTTATCTGTAGTAATAGCGGTAATGTCGTCTTTACCCGTAATAATAGCGGTAGTATAGTCTTCTCCTATAGTAATAGCAGTATCCGTAGTAATAGCGGTACCCGTAGTAATAGCGGTACCCGTAGTAATAGCGGTATAGTCTATAGTAATAGTAATAGCCTCTCTTATAGTAATAGCGATAGCCTCGCCTTTATCCGTAGTAGTAGCGGTAGCGTTACCTTTACCCGTAGTAATAGCGGTGGCGTTAGAGTCTTCCGACTTAAGATCTAATATGTCTACGGCTATACCCCTTAATAGTAGCCTATTCGCGATCTTATTAGATTAGGTAATACGGATAGATTATAAGCGTTCCCCGATTGTCTTAGCGGAAGCTATAGCTTATAGCGTTTTAATCCTGCTATTAAATATCTTATCTTCGTTAAAGACTACGTCTCTCGTGGTAATAATATCCGTTAGGTATAGTAGCTAAATACGGAAGCTATTCGAGGATTAGTATCCAATGTGATAACCAATCTATACCTTTGGTTCTAGCCTTTATAGGCGGTTTCTTTTAGCTTAGGCATCGCGCGTTTTTATAAAGGCTTTATAGCCGTAAGCTTATAGGTGCGTAAGGTTAGGTTAATAGCTGCGTAGGCCTTTATATAGCGTTCGCTAGTCGTTAATATATTATAGCGTTCTATTATACAGATATATAGTAGTCTTAAAGATCTTAGGCTAGATAGATATAGGCAGATTAGCTCTAATCCTTATAGCCCTCGTCCTTCTTTTAACTATACCTTTAATCCGTTCTATAACGCCGTTTTAATCCTATAAATATAATGCTAACGGCTAGCCTTTTACCCCCTTAGCAGCGAGGAAAGTAACGACTTCTAGGTACTAAAATATCTTGGCATCGGCTTATAGGATATATAGCCGGACGTCGAATTAGGTCTTAAGTAAGGTAAAAACGTCTTTTAACGCGTGCAGGATAAAGCCTTAGTCTCTCTTCTATAAGTAGTAATCCCACGTATAATCTATATACACGTCTATAACGAATATAATAGACTTATATAGGCCGCCTGCTAACGGCTCCGCCTCTTCTAGATTATAAACATTAATAGCCAGGGCCTCTCCGGGCTTTAACGGGTAAAGGGATAGTATCTGCCGGATCTATATAGGTATTTATAATTATCTATACGTGTTATAGTCCGTTATACGAGGTCCCTTTATCTTTACCCCCTAAGTAGCGTTAATAATCTTTATAAGAGTATCGGTGCCGTAATAGCTAAGACGTTCGTGCTACCGTTATACCGTAGTCTTCTACGGTTACCGCGGTTATCGTAATCTTCTATACAGGTTATCGCGGGGATACCTTACTAAGACCGCGAATACGGTAGCGGCCGTGGCTTCTGCGCGCTTAATTATATACTAGCTATAGATATCTAGTAGCTTATAGATAGGCCGGTTATTAGTGGAGCTAATAATAGTGTTATTTACGGTATCCTAGCGGTAGCCTTATAGGCGTAGCTAGTATTCCAAGACGATATTAGTGACGAATTTCTTATAGTATACGATATCACGGAGGCGTAATAGCCTCTTCGTGCCCATTAGGGATTATATATATAGCTTAACGTCTCCGTATCCGAGGATAGGAGCCTTATAAATACCCACCTAAAGCGTTAATAAATTAACTATAGGTAGTCTAATAGCCGTAAAACGGCCTTAATTATTAAAGATATAGATTAACGATCCTAAGTCTAGGATCGCGTAGTATAATAGCGCTTTAGCTTAGTTAATAAAAAGGGATATCCCTTATTCTTATTATAATCTTAATAGTGTCGTTATACGATAACGCGTTACCCCTTAGGTTAGGGGGGCTCCTAGTCTCCCCGTCGCGGTAACGGATAGGTCTTTATAAACTATAGTAGTAGGCGTAGTATTATAGAGTTAATCTTCCTAGACTTCCTCTATCTTATTAGCGGTGGTAGCTACTGCTTCCCGCCTCTTCTATATCGCGGTATCTACGCGGCTTTTAAAGCTATAAATACGTATTTTCTTTTCCGCGACCTTTATAATATCTTCACGGCTATGCCAGGTATAAGGGCGTATATCCGGCCTTACGTACTAATAGGCGGCGGTAGTATAGGTATTCTTATATATCTTATAAGGCCTCCTTATTATAGGAGGGATAGCCTTTACAGATATATTACTATAATGGCGCTTCTTATTATTATCGTTATTAGTAGTATCCTTAGTATCGGGGAGGTTCTTAAGAGTATTAAAGGTGCCTCTTCTAACTCTAGGCTTTATAGCAGTGGATTATAGGCTCTTTATATTACTAAGAACCGCACGTAGAGCCTTTACGAAGTCGTTAATCTTTAGCTCGTTTTCCGTAATCTTATCGTAGTTATTTACTAGGTAGTTATTACTCTATTCCTAGGCGATAGATCTAATAGCTTTTAAAGCGTCTTCCGCCTAATAGTCCGCGCTTAATAGCTCCACGATACCTATATATTTATAGTATATTATCGCTGTTTTCTAGCTTACTACCTAGGCGTCTATATCCTTAGGTATAGCCTTTATAGGCGTGGTGTATTATCGGTATAGGACTAGGGCTTCCTTACGGAGGTCTATAGGTATTAGTCCTACGTGCGCGTGTAGGAGGGTAATCTAGGCCTATAGGTTATTTACGGTATCGTCCTATAGCTAGGCGAGGAGGTTATATAATATAATATGAATAGTTCCTTTAATATAGGAATATACCTCGTTAAATTCCTTCTACTACGCGTCGTAGTCTGCCTTTTCCTCGCGGTATACACGGCGGTCTTATAGGTAGTATGTACGCCCCTTTTTAGAGAGGTCGTTAATAGACGTGGGCGTCCTGGTTAGGAGCTCTTTTATTACGGCTATAGCCGTGGCCTTACGGCGGGCGGCCGTTTTCTTCTTACTAGTAGTCGTGGTAGCGGCCGTGGTAGCCGTGGATTCTATAGTATCCGTGGCCTTATCGCCTTTTAGCGTGATAGTGGAAAACGGAGTAGCCGTGATAGTAGTGGCTATAGCCTCCTCCGCGTTAGGGTCCACGGCGAGGGCTTTATATTTATAAACGTTAGGTGGTATAGGTATAGGGAGGAGATAGGCGTTAGCCTCCTTATCGTTTAGCTTTAGATTAAGGTAGTTATCCTAGTAGGAGGCCGATTTACCGCGTATAGCGCGCTCCTAAACTGCCTAATCCCTTTAGTTAATAAGGGTAGTAGCGGCCGCCTTCTATTTGGCGTTGGATACGTTAGAAGATATCTTTACTAGATTATCGTTTATCGGTTAGTTGATTAATAGGTAGGTTGCTCTGATTAGGTCGATAGTAGCTATTTAAGAGTGCTTATATAGACGTGATTGCTTCTTTATAGTAGAATAGGGGTAGCCTTATTAATATCTATCGTTTTAGGCATTATAAACCGAGCTTATAACTATCGCACATTAAATAGACACTTAACTAATTAACTTAGTAGAGCAGAAATCTTGTGTGTATATATTATATTAAGTTATATCTAGGAGAGTCTCTTATACCCTTAATTTAGGTGGTGAAGACTCTGTTATGGGTACTAAGTTATTTAGATTCTATCCGGTCTTTTCCGGTATCCGCCCCTGTTATATCCGAAGCCCTTAGTTATAGCGTGGATCCCCCTTAGATCCCCTATGGACCACGTCGTGGTCCGTGTGCCTATACGATAACTTCACGAGGATATTTAACTATTAAGAAAAATAGGGGAAAATAAGTATAGATATATAGGAATAATATAACTACAGGGACACATTATATATAACCTGCGACCTCCGGTACTTAGCACGGGCCACTCCGTACCTATAGCTTAGTATAAGGTATATATCGCACGGAGATATATAAGGTACTCTTAGTCTAGAGGAATAGAATATACCTAGATAATTCCGCGTGTACCGTACCTTAACCCGATTATTCTGACAAGTGCCTTACGCAGGAATTTTGTGCTATTTCGACTCGCCCCCCCTTTCTGCGCCCCACCTGCCAAACCGTCAAGGTTCTTATACGGAGTACAATTCTTCAGTAACACGCCCACTATCGATGAAACCCCAAGGAGACGGGACGACCTCGTCGTGGCATCAAGGCAGGCGGTGCTACGATCCGCAGAGTCGAGATACCAGAAGGCCAGGTGAGCAGAGTACGGAGTAACTAACTTTAGCCAGCCGACAGCTACCTGCCTTACCTAAAGCTGAGTGCATTCATCTCGGATCCATTTGGCCCTTATTCAAATACCCCCGTCTGAATATGCTCGTCTTAAAACAATTGAACAGGGCGTGGGTACTATCCCATCTCATTGCCCATTTTGCAACTAACAAGGCCTATATTCTTAGTTCCCGTTCTTCCCAAATTATGAATAAACAATTTTACGCCTGGTAAGTGGATGCGGACACATTTCCACCACGACCGGTCCAGTTAACGTGAATGTCCTTGTCCACGGGGTATTTCTCGGTTGCCGCCTCAGGCTTGACGCGGAAGGTGTGGGCACCGAAGTAGTCGCGCTGAGCCTGCAGCAGGTTGGCGGGCAGGTCCTTCGTGCGGTAGCCGTCGAACCAGGAAAGGGCGGTCGAGAAGGCCGGGGCCGGAATGCCGAGCAGCGCCGCCTTAGCAACAGCGTCTCTCCAGCCGGGCTGAGCCTTGTGGATGGCCTTGTTGAAGAAGTCGTCGAACAGCAGATTCTCCAAGTCGGGATTGTTACGATAAGCTGAGGTGATATCCTTCAGGAAAACTGATCGAATGATGCAACCACCACGCCACATGAGCGCAATCGAGGGCTTGTTCAGCTTCCAGCCGTACTCCTTAGCCGCCTGATTGCGAGAGGAGAAGGTTAGTACTGAATGACATATAGACAAGGGTGAAAGAAAGGGGGCGGTTCGGAGGAACGAACCTCCTGCATCAGCATGAAGCCCTGAGCATAGGAGATGATCTTGGAGGCGTATAGAGCCTGCTCCAGGTCATCGAGGAACTCCTCCCTGTTGCCCTCGAACTTGTTGCTCCTTCCTACATACTCAAGGACTTGAGAGGCCTTGGTGCGCTCATCCTTGATGGCGGACAAGCAGCGGGCCAGGACGGCCTCGGCAATGAGGGTAACGGGCTGGCCGAGATCGAGGGCGTTGACCGCAGTCCACTTTCCGGTGCCCTTCTGACCCGCCTTGTCGAGGATCTTCTCGACGAGAGGAGTGCCGTCGTCGTCGTTGAAGTAGAGAATATCACGGGTGATCTCGACCAGGAACGAGTCCAGTACACCGTTGTTCCACTTGGCAAAGACATCGCCCATCTCCTTGCTGGACATGCCCAGGCCACGCTTCATGATGTCATACGCCTGTCCGTGCTGTCAGTATGTGCCGCATAGTCTGCTAGGAGCGGTTGGGAAGGCGCCTTACCTCGCAGATAAGTTGCATGTCGCCATACTCAATGCCGTTGTGGACCATCTTGACGTAGTGACCAGCACCCTCGTCGCCTACCCAGTCGCAGCAAGCCTCGCCATCGCTCTTGGCCGCAATCGCCTGGAAGATGTCCTTGAGATAAGGCCAGGCCTCCTCATTGCCACCGGGCATCAGAGACGGGCCGTAGCGCGCACCCTCCTCGCCTCCGGAGACACCAGAGCCCACGAAACGGAGGCCCTTGCTAGCGCAGTACTGCGTACGGCGGTTGGAGTCGGGGAAGTGGGAGTTGCCACCATCAATGATGATGTCACCGCTCTCCAGGAGGGGAATGAGGGTCTCGATGTAGTCGTCCACAGCTTTGCCAGCCTGGACCAGGAGCATCACACGGCGAGGCTTCTTGAGCTTGGAGACGAACTCCTCGATAGAGTGGGCGCCAACAATGGACTTGCCCTTGGCCTCGTTCTCGAGAAACCGGTCGACTTTTGCCACAGTTCGGTTGAAGGCGGCAATGGTGTAGCCATGGTCGGCCATGTTAAGGATGATGTTCTGTCCCCTGGAAGGTACAGCATTCTGTTTAGCGCACGGAGCGTTCTCCTAAAACAAGGCGACAATGGAAGCAGAATCAACTTACATGACAGCGAGGCCAATAAGGCCAAGATCCGCACTTTCCACCTAGTCAGCATGCGTCCATGTTCGCACTGGTGAGGAATGATGACGTCGGAGATTAGGACGGAACTTACACGGGGCCAGACATGGTGGTGATGTGGAGGAAGACGCGGTGACGAGATTCTTCTTGGATCGGAGTGCCAGGACAGGAGAAGGATATGGGAAGCTTGGTTCTTTATCGTGGGAAAAAAAAAGAAGTGAAATCGGGAGAGGGGACGAGGAAGAGGGGGGAGGGGAAGGAGGGGGAGGGGTTAAGCTATTATTATAAAGTATCGCCTTTCAGGACTGGTACCAGCCCCACTACCGTCAACGAGAGGTAAGGGATACCTTAACGGTACACACTCAGTCGAGACGGGGGGGAGTAAAAGGCAACAAGTTAATACAGTATGAAATCTCGGGGCGTGGAGATCGTCTTCCCGTCTACGACGGACCCCCACAGCTGCCTACCTCGTCCAGTCTAGTCGATTGAATGGGAACTTCAAAATTTACGCTCACGTTTGTTACAATGTGTGTTCTCCAAGCCCGATCCAGGCTGCTGGTGGAACTCGGGAACGGTCTTCCCTGAAAAGGCTCCCGCTAGCAAATAATTTTGTTGGGTCCTATCTCTTTCCACCAACAAGGCGTCAAAAGCTTGATATGCACAAAGTACGCGCGGTGTTGCCAATCTGCTTGCAGTCGTGTCACGAAAGCATACCAGTTAACTAGAAGGGTTGCTGGAGGATGTCCAGGGAACACGGAGGTTATAATTCATTCTACCTGAACATTCGATGCCTTCCATACGGCATTGCTTGACGTTTGAGTAAACTTCATATCGCGTTCGGTGCCTTCAACGACTCTTCAATCAGGAACCCTGATAGTGACTTCAGACATATATCTGTCTTCAGTCAGGTTGCTGGCTTCATACTCGGGTAGCTCAACCTTTTTATGCCCTACGTTAGTGTTCAAAGTTTACATATGGATGAGTCTTGCGCTCTTGTTTCGATGTACTACTCCGGAGACCTCTGAGATATTACCAGAGCTGCACACACTTCGTGATATTGCTGAGATATTTGGATGTTGATTGCGTTGCGTACTGAACCCGCAAAAAAGCCAGATTTACTCCGTGAGAAATGCGCCCCAATCATTCCTATAATAAGACTGAGGTTAAACATTGAACATATGTATTCGGCAAGTACCTTCAGAGTATTACGGGCGACGGAGCCGCCGGAAGACATGGGGCGCTCAGTGGGGGAGGTTTACATACAACCCACGCTGTCTTCTCACTCAGCGTCCTCGTAACCATAGTGGTGTTTCGGGATCGGTGGGGTGTCATTTGCCCCTCCATCCCCTCCCCTTCCAAACACACAGTAGGTACATGCTATTCGTACATTCAGCGCTGTACCTAGGTACTTACGTATAGAAAAGCTTCATATGCCATCATGCGTCTTCAACAATGCCCGTGGATATATAACCAGTTCGTCCTCTGCCGGAGGATCCAAGACGCTCAAGTCCTATGCCCTGCCTACATTACATGGCGAGTACGAAAATTACGTGCTTACACAAAGATAGGAGGGGAGGGGCAGTTGTCACCAATACCTCATGCCAAGCAACTTCTCCCAGCCAACATAATTCGTACTTCGTGCGATTGGAACTGTGCTGGATCGCTCTCATATCGGAAATTTACGCTCGTGGCAAAATCTATACTGCATGTCCGCCGTCGACCACATGCCGGCCTTTCTGTTTTCCTCTGTGACCGGACTATGTGTGTAATCCAAGCGGTTCGAAATTATGATGGTAGTCAAAAGCGGTTCGAATCATCATTTCTAATTGGCTCGTGTTGTTGCAAAAAGCGGAATCCACGGCCCCTCTGTCGGACTCGGACGCAGAAGTCGCGAAGATTGATTACCTGCAGTCATCTCATCTCCGTGGGATTCCCCGCTCCACGGGTAAAGGAGAGAAAATGTCGCAACTTCAAATTTCGCACGGCCAGGTTGGTTGATCCTCTGGCTGGGCCGCTACTTCCGGCTACGTACTGAATGGCGGCAATAGCGGGAGAGACACCCGAGCATCCAATTCTTGTCCGTACGCCGTAGTCGAGATGAATGTGTTTTTTTGGCAGCCTCGAAACCAGGTTGGTTGGCTCGTTATTTATCAAGGAATTCACGGAACTGCTTGAACCAGAAAGCAGAGCCGCGACTGGGGTTGATGACCATAACCCCAACTAATTCTTATACGTTATACACGTACAAGAATATAATACACAATATTGGGTAATTACTTCTTCCACGTTTGCTAACTTAACACGGACTAAGTACAAAATAATTACCGTGTATTTGACTTTCCCAATAAACTGAGTTAGCCGGGTAATTAATGGATAATATCCTTGTGGCGTGTTTTGCCTGTGAACTTACATAAGGTAGGTAATGTAGGTGTATGCAGCACGTAAGTACATACGCGTGTTTCACCCAGACACATAACTTGTAGAAAAGGTTTCGAACGACACTACTCTGTATCTAGAGATTTATAGGTAGAGACATACGTAGAATAACTATTCGTACCCAGCGCTGTATTTTCAGTGAAGAATGGCAGAGGTCGGATCGTTAGTCAGAATGTGGCTTGACTCCTCACGTGACCTACAAAAGCCACGCCCTTGGCTTAAGCTCATCGAGAATCCCATCCAGCCTTTCAACAATCTTTCCAAGATCATCAGCCGTAAACAGGCACCAGACTCCAACAGTGTACTGCAGTCCTGCAACTCCTTCGACTCGCACTCCTCCTTATTGACGAACGAAGGCGGTATTTGAGCAGAGAGCGCCTCAGAGGGTACGTTTCACAAACAGTAAAGCCAAATCGCTCTTCCAAATCCGCAGTTCATTCATCATGGCCTACCCGCCCCCTCCAGGTATTTCGAACGTCTCTAGGAACACTAGTACTGCTCCGGGCGCCCCTCACCCTTCACTGCCAGCCCGCCCGCCCGCTTCAAGCAGTGTCACTACCGAAGGGGGCTTCAAATCTTCGTTCAAACCTGCGTTTTCAACGCCAGCGCCCCCCGCATACTCGAGCGCCCCTGGCTATGGCACTGGGGCTCCCCCTGCTCCAGGCCAGTACGGCCCATCTTCCTACCCGAGCTACACACAAGCCCCTGCGTCCTCATCAGTGAGCGCAGCGCCTTACCAGAGCCGACCTACGTCCTATCAATACAACCAGCGCCCAAATTACCAACAAAGCGGATACCATGCGACAACTCGCAACGGAGCAACGTTCGGGCCCGCGGTCACCCCGCAGATTCGAAACCCCTTTCCTGCTCCCAGTGCAACCGCCGACTCATCATACGACCCTGAGATGGCGGCGCAAATAGCACAATGGCAAAGCGCTTATGCCCCGAGGGACAGCACTACCAACGTCAACGGCCCGACCGGTCCCACGATTTACGCAGCCCCGACGGTGACGAATCCCACCGCCCAGTCGGCAGCCGACGCCACCGCTGCCGCCGCCAATCCGCCGGAGAAGCAAAAGACAGTGGCCCGCGAAGGCGGCGGGAAGAAGTGGACCGATGACTCCCTCCTAGAGTGGGATCCTTCACACCTGCGCCTTTTCGTCGGCAATCTAGCAGGTGAGGTAACGGACGACTCGCTTCTCAAAGCATTCGCACGCTGGCAGTCAGTCCAAAGGGCCCGCGTCATCCGCGACAAGCGCACGAGCAAGTCCAAGGGTTATGGCTTTGTCAGCTTCAGCGACGCGGACGACTTCTTCCAGGCCGCCAAGGAGATGAACGGCAAGTATATCCAAAGCCACCCCGTCGTCGTCCGCAAAGCCAAGACGGAGATCAAGGTCACGAACGTCAAGGGTCGGGACAGCCGCGGCGGCGGGAAGAAGCATAAGAGCGGCAGCGGGGCTGGTGCGGGTGGTAGACAGGAGGGCGCCGGTGGTGCAAGCTACGATTCCGTTTTAGGGCCTACGCATCACGGCGGCGTGACCAAGCCAGGCCAGAAAACGAAGAACGGCCTGAAATTGCTCGGTTGACGGTCAATTTTATCCCGCATACAAAAAACTACATGCTGCTAGACAGGCTCATGATGAGGACCTAGGGGATATACAGGGACATTGGGCTCAGGCATGGCAGGAGTTTGGTGTTTCATACCCTTTTTGTCAAGGCCTCTGAGAGAGAGTACATAGCCTCAAGAAGATAATAATACGCCACGACTCGTTGAGTTGTAGTTCTTGAACCTAATGCCTGGTCTTTGTATTCTGGGTATCACCATATTATGTATATATAGCAAGACGATGGGATGTAAACGTTTCTCAGAAAGCCGTCCAGCACCAACCTGCTCCTCCTCGCACCCGACGGAGTAGTGACCTCTAAGGTAGTCTTGTGCAGGTACACCATCCCAACTATTCCTCGCCCGACATGACCCAATATCAATATGTCCCAGTTTGTGACCTCTGATTTCGACCCGACCTGCTTGATTTCCTTTACTCGTTGTCGTGTTTCTTTTGGGCAGAAAATTTCGCCACTGTATCTCCTGGCAAGGCTCCGAGTTTCGGTCTGTACCGAATGGACAGCCACGATCTTCTAATGTTGTCGGGGCCGACAGGCCTGGCCAGACATAGTGTTGTTACTTATCTCGGAAAGCCTGCGCTGCACGCATCTCTTGCGACTCTTGCTGGGTATCTTGCATTGGGTTTGGGAGAATGTCACCATCAACGGTGACTAGATTCTCCGCCATTTCAGAGCTGTTTCGGCCGAGTAGACCAACATCTTCGCCTGCGTTATCTTCGTTGTCACTACCACTGTTACTGGTCATGTCCTCGAGACCCATGTGTCCGCGGCGAACGTTTTCCTGGGCATCTTGACGCATCTTGGATATCTTAATCCAATTGTAGGCGATGATAGCGACCGTCGTTGTAGCAAGGCCAATGGCATTGACTGGGGTGAGCTGGTCGTCGAAGACTAGAGCGGCAGCAGAGATGGTGATGACCTCTTTGAAGATGCCGGCGATAGAAAGGGTGACGACAGAAGTCCTCTGGAGGAGGGCAAACTCGGAGGCTGTCATCAGAAAAGCGATGCAGCCGGGGAACAAAAGGAAAAAGGGCGTTACGATGCCCCATTCGTCGTAGAGAATCCGGAAACCGTCAAAAAGGGCGCTGAAGCCCTCAACAGGAATAGCGATGATCATGAGAACGACGAACATGACGGGTGCGAGGAAGAAGATGCTGGAGAAGGGGTTCGAAGTAGCTGGATTTCGCAGGAGCATGATCTGGGTCAGCGCCCAACGAAAACCAGAGAAGAAGGCGGCCGATAAGACGAGAATGAAGCCGCCCAGCTTAAACTCGACTTCGCCGGACACCATAAGAATGACACCCATGGTCATGGTGGCTATAATGGCAACCAGTCGCCATGTTGGAGCTTCTAGTCGGAAGAGGAAGGCGAAGATCAATACAAACGCCAAGTTGGATGATTTGCACATGGCTAGGAGGCGAAGTTAGATCATGTATCCATACCCGTGGGTGGCTTGCTTAAATTGCGTCAACAAACTTACTGTAGAATGTCAATGTGACGAATTTGAGCGAGGTGTTACTTAGTCCGATATCAAGGCCTGTGGCCGTACCACAGGGCCCAACTCTTGTAAGGTAAAACCATATGGACATCGGAGACCCTTCGGGCCCTGTATCTGAGCTGCGCGAGGCATTCTTCGGCCGTAGTGAGGGAACGAAATATAAAACTAGAGCAGCAAGGAAAAATTGAACCAGCATATGGCATGCTGTTGTGAATAAGGGAAAGGAGAAGTTGAGCCGGTCTGCGTCAAACATCCATTTGTTATACTGCATGGAGAAGCATATCAGATCAGAACCGAACTGGGACGTTACCACCATGGTACACCAGAACGACGGGGATGCTGAGGGAGAATATTTGCATACGTACCAAAGAGATGCTTAGAGAGAAGAAATACCAGAGCACAATCAAGGCCGTGTTGACGAGAATGCTCCTGACAACGTTGTGATCGGCCTCTTTCTTCTCTTCGGCGCTAATCTCGTCGCCCCTGACGAAACGCTGGTCCAGCAGCGTATTACGCCTCCTCTTCCGCCTCTTGTGCCGCTTGTCCTTCTTATTAAGTCCCGTCTCCTCGTCGTCATGCAGGTCTTCATCAGAAAGACTGTAGTCCACCGAGTCCAGAGAATGACGGGGCATATCGTCCGTCTGCTCTTCTGAAATCTTGGGTTCTTCGGGGAGTCCGAGTCCAGGGGCCCTGATTGAGTCGGCACGATCACGAGAGCGAGGAACCCGCTCGGAATTGTTGTTGCTGTTGCTGTTGTAGCTCGAGCCTACGCTCTGCATGAGGCTACTACGGCGTCGACGGTGACCGGCCCCCTTCATCGGCTCCATCTCTATGTCGTTTGCCCCCTCGGCTGGGCTTCCTATCGATTGTATTCGGGGATCAGAGGCATCCCAAATGATTGCATGGGAAGAGGGAGGGAGGGACGAGCTAGTGGTGGTCGCGGAGGTGGAGGGAGCGGTGGGAGTGGGTCCGAGGTCGCGGTGGGACAGGAAACTGTCGTCGTGGCCGTCGTTGTCCGCGTTGTCGATGCCGTCAGTGCTGTCGCTACTGGGACGCGTTGAGGGACGTTGGGAGGCGGCAAAAGGGGTGAAACGAAGGGAAGGCGACGTGGATTGGCGGGAAGAAGAGGGCGTCATGGGTTTATTCTTCCTGAACGGCCTCCGATGGGGAGGAGTTATGCACTGCACCAACCTGTGTCCTCAGTCCCAAGCCCACCGACACAAACATACAGGGCAGGGACGGACTCTGTAGTAGTTTCGGATAGTGCCTGTGCGGCCGCTCAGGGATCGAGCAGAGTGGAGGTCTTTATTAGTGGTCTGTCTTGGAAACACAGGTCTGGGGCATGACCTGGCCTAGGCCAGCTTGGGAACCTATGGGAAAGTGGAATCTATGAAGTTGGACTGGAGCAAAATGCATTGACTAACTGAATGGGATAATTAAAGGGCTTTACTAGGGAGCCAGTACAGATGACTATTTTGCCAGTAAAATGGTGGGGCCCGCCAAGCATGATAAGCTACTTAAGTACCACACCTATTCATATGTATAACTTAAGTAGCCACACATTTAGAGAGGGTCAGTAACTTACACAGGTACCTTTAACCTATAGGATCCATATAAACCCCCGACCCTTCCCGTAACGGTACCTATTCGTGTGTAATAAGACTGACTACCTTCATCCGTTCGAGTATCTAGGTAGGAAGTAAGCCCTGCTTAAACCTTAGAGGGTAGCTGTACCGTCGGTTGTTTTGGTGGTGTTACGGCGCGTTTAATTGATAATGCCAAAAAAAAAGAGAGACAGAAAGGGAGGAAGGTCCTGTTAGCCCGGAATTGAACCGAAGTCACGCCCCAATATCGACCTTCCACCATCTGACATTTATAAGATGTTTCCTCTTATTATTTGGGCTTGCCTATGTACCGAGACAGACAGTGGAAATAAGGAGATAGTCTCCGAGTTACGCCTTGCGGTAATTCACTTCGTCTTCTATACTCCGCCGTGACCAGATTTGTACTTCATACGAAGAAATACTTCCATATTTCCTTCGTTGTCGGGGAGCCTTGTCTCCTCCTGTTTATGACATGTCTCTTCCGATCCGATCTCTCGGTTCTCGGCGCTCCACATAAGTGGCTGGCCCGTCTCATTGCTTCTTCACTGCCGAGTACACGTACATCCTGTTGGGAAACACCGTACTTCATACGCAGTGCGGAAACATTATGCGGATAGATACCTATTCGTAAAACACCAGTTCACTTTATTAACGTGTGGATAGACGGTTCTCTTAGCAACAGGTTTCAGCCACATAATAAGTGTTCGGCTTACTCTCGAGTCATAACACCTGATACGGAGTGATGCTTTAAGATTTCAGTCGAGATTCTGTAAGCCGTAAGACCCAATGCTTATATGTCCAACTCTTCTCCGTACTATACGAAGTAATATGTCGTCGCAATTACAGCAGCAAACTAGGCCCGTGCACTACCTTATTGATCGAACCCCCACCCATTGCCCCATCCCCACACACCGTCCCGCAGCTCATTGATCAACTTCGGGTTGTGGTAGTTCTACCTAGGCCTCACAGCCACGCTGAGATCAGCGACGGTTAAAGAATGCGTTGGAAAAGCTGTCGGGATAGGCTTCACCCCGATTTTAGCGGCCAGACCCAGCCCCTGCGGCTCTGTCATCAGCTTAAATAGCTACCAACCATTAATCAGACATGCTGGAATTTGTTGATCCCCTGTTAATATCAATTCCCAGACGTTTAGTGCTGGCGGCTGGCATTCCATCTCACGGGTGGGTCGACGATTCTCTTCAGCATCACTACCGGTCAGACAGCGCTCACACTGCGGGGGCAGATGTTATTGTAGCTTACTCAGAAGCTTAAGGTACCTTAGAAACTGCCTCGACGCACCCTTATAATACGAGACGGTTCGCCAGTTACAAACCCGGGACCCTTTCCTGTACCGTACTTGATTGCTCTTTATATGTGCAAAGCGCGAAAGACGAAGTACATGGCTGGTCTGCAGGTGACGTCACGGCGAGAGGATTCAACTTCCTAAGTCCTGTCTATTACACGTACCTTACCCCTCATCCGGAGTGTTTTCCCATTCACTAAAGCTAGTAGTACTTCGATTTCGTCTCGAACTCGCGCTTGTGTTCAGGTCAATTCTGCTAGAGCTGCGTCAGAACAACCGTTACTCGGGTTCCTACCTACCTTAGGTACCTGAGGTATGTCCTCCCTCTTCCCACTTGCTTCAAATCCGTACATCCTCTAACCGGATGCTTGGGACACTTTGAGCAGCTATAAGCTAAGTCACCTCGGAGTTTCTAAGCCGTTGACCCTCATTGCTTGGAGTTTCGGCCCTAGCAGCTTTGTGCCTGCCGTTGGCTTCAGTTCCGTAACATACATTCAGTCACTCTGCCCGCATTTCTCAACTGCCGGCTCCCATATTCGAGAGACCAACACTCCCCATTGAACCCAGATAAGTGGTAATAGTTCGAAGGTTCAACTACCCAGAAGACTGGGCAGTCAACCTAAATACTCGGTCGATCTCGTCCATTGTGCATCACCATGCCACCCCGCACCGACAAAGTCTCACCGGGAGATAGCCCTCATGGGGACTACCTACCCATGGAAGACTATGGTATGATTGGTAACATGCATACTTGTGCCCTTGTGGGTATGAACGGCTCGGTAGACTTTATGTGTTGGTAAGTTTACAGTCACCTATTCGTGTTTGGACCTGACTTGAGCTTTTTACTTGTCATCCTCTTTTGCCATCTGTTCTGGAGCTCGAAGGTCAAGCTTCTTGTAATACGATGAGCACAGAGCCGTGGGAATAAAGGGACCGTCTGACCCATGGTAGGCCGGACTTCGACTCGCCCAGCGTCTTTTGTCGCCTCCTTGACAAAGACAAGGGAGGTTTCTTCAGCATCTCCCCTCCCTCCCCAATGCCTTGTGCCACCAAGTGAGTTGCGCATTTTGCTGTTTCGCCGTTGCGCTCGCTAAAATTGTGCTACAAGACAGCAATACCTGCCCTCGTCCAATATCCTCCAAACCCGTTATATTCACGATGATGGAGTTGTCGATGTCGTTGACTTCTTTCCGCGCCCTAAGACGGCCTCTGTCATAACAAAGGGAGGGCCTCGGCAAACTTCTTTTCGCGAAACGTATCGGATCCAAGAGGAGCTGAAGAGGTGGCTCGTTCGCCGGGTCGAGTGTATTCGCGGCGAGCTTGAGCTTGGTGAGCCTTAGCTAACGGTCTCATGTCGTTGACCATCGGCTTTAGCTGACATATACATCCCGCAGTCGTCGAGATCTTCCCCGCTTTCCACTACGCCCTGGAGTCACACGTCACTACTTTGCTTCGAGCAGAACTAGGAGATGAGAGCAAGGTCGCTACGTTCCGTAGCGCAAGCACCAAACTGCAGCTCGACGTAGTCGTCGATCGCGGCGACGTGGATGGCGGCGAAGAGCCCTACGTCTGTTTCCACACAGAAAAACGTAATGGAATGCTTGGTGAAGGACTTGTGGCACATATCAAAGTCCAGGAGGGCCAGGCAATCTCCTTTGTCCTGCGAGATGATATACCAAATCATGTGACAAAGAACATCGGCACCGAAGTGCTCGATCGGCAGCAGCACGATACTCAGTCGTTCTGGTATCACTGGATCTCCCAGAGCACATACAAGGGTCGATGGCGAGAGGTTGTTCAGAGGAGTCTCCTGATACTGAAGATGTTGACGTACGAGCCTACCGGAGCCATTCTTGCAGCTCCCACCTTCTCCGTTCCAGAAGCCATTGGTGGTACAAGGTTCGTCGAAGTTCCGTTTTCCCTAGGACGTAGGACGAGGACTTGTTCACTGACTGGACACGTCCCCCGAAAGGAACTGGGACTACCGCTACTCTTGGGTTCGAGATGCCAGCTTCACCATCTACATCCTCCTTCGCTTGGGCTATTCACAAGAGGCTGATGCCTACATGCGCTTTATCAATGAGCGCCTCGAAAAGTCGTTGACCCCAGACGGAGGCCTGCCCATCATGTTCACGATCCGTGGCGAGACAGACATACCAGAGATCGAGCTTGATCACCTTGAGGGCTACAGGGGGAGCAGCCCAGTTCGCATTGGTAACGGCGCGGCATTCCATCACCAGTTCGACATCTATGGGGAGCTCATGGATGGTATCTACCTCTACAACAAGTACGGCAAGCCAGTCAGTTGGGACCAGTGGTGCGCCGTCAGGCGCATGCTTGGTACGTGATATGCACTCGTGTCCTAAGCATACCCATCCGGCATCAAAGCTGACAGTCCTAGATTACGTCTTGACTATCAAAGACGGTGCGTCCAGGCCCGCCCAGCCCTCGTTTATATCTGCCATGTCATAAGCCACTAATATGATGTTTTCTGCTTCTGCTTCCGACAGAGCCCGATATGTCCATCTGGGAAGTCCGGAACAACAAACAGCATTTTGTCTACTCGAAAATCATGCTCTGGGTCGCCTTTGACCGCGGGTTGCGTCTGGCTGAGAAGCGTAACCTTCCCTGCCCCAATCGCACCAAATGGCTCGCGGCAAAAGATGGTCTTATGGAGGAGATCATGGAAAAAGGTAGTTCGCTTGCAGTGTCCCTTCCATTTCCCGCCCTGTGACCCTGAAATTCTTGAACTCACATACCGCGTCTAGGGTACAACACGGAAATGAAATGTTTCGTCCAGAGCTACGAGAACAATACCCTACTGGATGCATCCATCCTCATTGCGCCGCTCGTCTTCTTCGTCGCTCCGAACGACCCTCGTTTCCTCAACACCATGGACCGAATTCTACTACCTCTCGAGAAAGGTGGTCTGACAAGCGCGGGGTTGGTCCATCGCTACGATACGGAACTTGCAGACGACGGTACGTTGGAAAGAAAAAAAGAAAACAAAAGATGATGTGACTTCCTTGCTGGTCCTCGGCACATTTCATGCCTATACAGGCCTAACATCTGCGGTTAATTTCTGGCCGCACGTCCTGTGCCCTGCACCACTCCCAAAACTAGATAAGACAACTCTAACGCTGCCTAGGGGTCGGCGGCCACGAGGGCGCATTCAGCATGTGCACCTTCTGGTTAGTCGAAGCTTTGACGCGGGCTAGCGTCCACGAACCGCGCTACCGTGCGCGTGCTGTTAATATGTTCGAGAACGTCCTCAGCTTCTCCAATCATCTCTGCATGTTCTCGGAGGAGATTGCTCGCACTGGAGAACAGCTCGGGAACACGCCGCAGGCTTTCAGTCACCTGGCGCTCATCAGCGCTGCGTTCAATCTCGATCGCGTGACCGAAGGCAAGCATTAGCTGAACTGCGGATTTTTTTTTTGGTACGGCAGCGGGTACAGCTGAATCCATCGTGAATATATCGGCCCGGATTTAGGTGGCGAACTTGGGGTAGATATGCATCAGGACATGTCGTGTATTAATCGATCCATCTCCATTATTTCTCCCCGTGAATTGGTGTCCTCCTCCTCTGGAGGTATCCGGGATAGGCTTCGTAGCGCCCAAAACTTCAGTGATGGTTGGTCTTGATCCACAAAACCGGTTGGTACTGTGACTCGCACGGAAGCCAGCAGCTAAATATGTATTGACGTCTAACACCACGACTGTTGTGAAGCGAAGTCAGGAGCGTCATCGTATCATGACAGCTCCATGCTGTCCTTCTCGTCCCCCAGTCGATCACCAACGGAGCTGAGCCCTGAGCTGGGAGGTCTGGAGTCTGCAGCCGATGATCGTACTGGAGAGGACGGTGGTGATGGGCTGCGCATCATCTGCATCCATTTATGGATGCTCGATAGCTCGCCGCCCTCCACCAAGACCTCTGGAGAAGACTCGATACCTTTTCCGAGAATTGTTCCGTGGAACTTGAAGTCCTCGGTTGATTTTGAATGTTTGGACAATAGGGCTAGATTAATGAGAGAGAGAGAGAGAGAGAGAGAGATTACCGTTAGCTTAAGCTTTTCCAGCGCTTGATTCCAGGCGACGTCGGAACATGAGTTGACGCAGCAAAGGCGTGCGGAAGACAGGGCAGGAAGAGCAAAGCAATCGGAAGTTCGTAACCATGCCACAAGCAGAGACGGAAGCCACATACCGTTTAGGTAGTCGGTCGCCGAACTATCTCCTTCGGCAGTCCCAGCCGTCACTACCCCGTCGCCTAGACCCGCGATGACCATCTCCCTAATGGCGCGGCACTTGGACCCGGAGAACCAGGCGATGAACTCATCCACGCCCCGGGTGTCCTCGGCCATCCGGTCGCGATCGGAGCCCAATATGAATTTCCTTTGTTCTTGGTGCAGCTGTTCATGCTGCCGTTGTTGTTCGGTCCCTGGGTCGGGTTCGAGGAAGCGCTCTCTGATGGCAAATGCCCCTGCCTCTTCTAGGGCCATGCGCACATTAACAATTGTGATAGAGGGGTTGATCGGTGAATCGTATGGCTGGGTCTCTTCATCGTCGTTTAGGCCGTCACTTGTGACTGCTGCTGCTGCTGCGGCGGTAGTAGAAGCGTTATCTAAGGCATGAGCGGAGGTGGCATGGCAAAGAGACAGGAGATACCGGGCAGCAAGTTCGGTGAATGTGTCGATTACAACGGGCCGGGCAGCGTGATACCCTGTCGCGCGGAGGATCTGGAGCACGCAAGGGCGGAGGAATGCGTGGAAGAGTGTTGTGGGAGGAGTCATTGCTCTGGTTTCTTTTTCTCTTAATTGCTTCTTTCGACAGAGCAAGAAGAGCCTGGGGCGATTGAGAAGGATAGAGAAGAAAGTGCGGGTTGTATGGTCGCAAGCTTGAAAGAAACACCCTGAGGCGGCTTTGAGAAGGGGCCAGGAGTACTAGGAACCTTCCCAGGAGGTTGTTGATCTAATAGAGCAAAGTTGCCCCTCCTAGCGCAGGCTACGAAGCAGATGGCTGAGGGAAGCTCTTCATTGACTGAAGAAGACGACAAACCATAATGCTCTGTAATTGATGTGCGATAGTACTGGCGACGGGGATTCTGCTCCTGGGCAACGCCTTTGGGGCCAGGCCAGGTAAATTTATGTAGTGAAGGAGCTGAGATCGCCTACCTGCACACCGGAGCACTGTTTCCCATTGGTGAATTTCAATTATGCAATAATGGAGGTATGTTTGCAGCTATGATGGCTAATGCTCTAACGGATAGATTCTCGCCGGCCACACCGAAGGAAGGGACCAACGATTTCGTAGTTAGCAGTACGTACCCGTACCGCAGCCTACATACCGTACAAAGACCTCATTACCTTATACATCGACCTAATGTAGCTCACCCCGATTACTTTCGTTGTAGTGGTTCTGGTGTTACTGTTATTGCTCTGCATCTTCATGCCCTGCTTGTTGTTCACCCCCTTAATCTTCTTCTCAGTCCTATTCAGAGGGATCGAGATGACCTATCTTCCAATCGCCCGACGCTTAAATCCGACCAGGAAGATTGTTACTACGGTAGAGCTAACTGCGTGTCCTCGCCGAGGATATCAATGCGGGCATTGTATACCTTAGTTTTCAACAAAACGGATACCTCCCTCGCATGTCTCTCGCCGGAGGTTAAGGCAGAGACAGACTGCATACGACTGTCTTAACCTCCCACCTCTCCATGACAGAACCGAAGTCCACGTACTTCTCATGGTTTAATTTCTGCCTCGCATTGGGATATCTTCGGTTTCGTCAATTCCCGAATATTTGTTAATCCACCCAAGCACTTCCTTATGCCATACCAAGGAGTTTTCAGGCTTCAGAACCCACTGTGTACCGTTATCGTCAGCCGGTTTCCAGGCATTCCATTTCGCTCAAGGGCTCATCAGAAAGCTGCACTCACGTGGTTCTCGTCGGGGAACATGAGGAAGCGGCTGGGCACTCCTCGGGCTTGGAGTACGTTGAACATGGCAAGGCCTTCCGAGACGGGGAGACGATAGTCCAGTTCGTTGTGGATGACGAGCTGGGGGGTCGCCCACTGGTTGAGCCGAGTCGCTGGATCCCACTTTTCATACATATCGCGTTTCTCCCACAAGGGGCCGCCAAAGTCGTGCAGGGGGAAGAAGAGCTCTTCGGTTGACCACTGGCTCAGCGTTGAGAACACGCCGTCGTGGCATACCAGCGCTTTGAATTTCCGTCCGAGATCGTTGCCCTGAATCCAGTCTAGTTTGGCGGTGGTGAGAATTCAGGCGCTCGTAATACCGGAAAAACCAAGGAACCTACTGATCATGTAGCCACCATAGGAAGCTCCAAGGGCGACAGCCCGGTCCGTATCAATGTAGCCTATCTCCTTCTCGATGTGTTCGAAGCACTTGACCAGATCAAAGTAAGGACGCCCTCCCCACTCGCACTGGATGGCATCGGTGTGCCCCTGTCCGTACCCCGTGCTTCCCGTGGGGTTGGGCAGTACGACCACATAGCCCTGTTCGGCGAAAACGGCTGGATTCCATCTCGTGCTCCAGCTATCGTTCCACGCGCCCTGAGGCCCGCCGTGGATGAGGAATGCGAGAGGATAAGTCTTCGACTGATCAAACTTGGAGGGCTTCACAACCAGGGCATGTACATCGTAACCCTCGGCGCCCTTGAACCAAAATTCGTCGCACTGAGCCTCGGACAGACCGAAGGATTTGCCGTTCTTGGAGCTTGATGATATTGTATGTATCTTCTTGGAGGAAGGATCGAGGCGTGAGAAGCGCGAACTATCAACTAGCGAGTTGGAGCTGACTAGAAGTTCGTGGCCGTTATCCCCAAGCAATACTGCAGTAGTCACTGAGCCTTGCTCGAAGATAGACTCGGGGGATTCAGTTGCCTTGTGTGGGGACGAGGGTAGCTTCCACAGCTTCCTCCTGCCGTGATGCTCGGCGGCGACATACAGCTCTGTGTCATCCTTGTTCCACTTAATCCACTCAGGACGCGCATCCCAGCCGCCTACTTCGTCTTTCGTCACATAAAACTCCTGCACGCTGGCGAGGTCCGCAATGTCCGGAATCAACATCAGCCGGGGTTTGTCGGCTTCGTACTGGTTATTCTTCATCCTGGCAAAAGCGAGTTTCTTCCCGTCCCGAGAGAAAATGGGCGAGGAGGAGTAGCCTCGAAGATTACCTGTCCGGACGATCTGGGGAGGCGGGGGATCGTGTTCCGTGAAGGTCCTGAGAGGGATGACGTAGAGATCGGTCTTGGTGTATACCGCAGGGGAGATATCCGGATCCCTGGCTATGAATGCCAGACCAGCATGGCTGATGTCGAAGTCTTCGGTGCCGCCAAAAGGTGGCACCGGGCATTCAAGCCGGGTATTGCGGAGGGCATTGACAAGACCGGGTTCTTCTAAGTGATACAGTGAGCCCTTCCTTGTCAGCAGGCCATACCAAAGCGAGTTCCTGTTCTCGCTCATCCATTTGTCCCAGTGCCGAGGGAACAGGTCGGAATAGACCTTAGCGGAGGAATGTGGTTGCTTTTGAGACCCTCGGTCATACATGGTGCCGGAGGGAGTTGTGATGGCGGAGCAGACGACGGCCACTCGGTCGTTGGAAAGGCGCTTTGCCTTCAGGTTCGCGAGATTGCCATGGACGGCTCGAATTTCATGAACTCTGTTTGGATGACAAAGTCAGCAGCGAGAACCCTTTCGGGAGGGTTAGAGCATGTAAGGGACCCACGCCGAGGGCACGTCAACATCGCCGAGCATGAGGTGAGTGATCCCTTTATCCCCATTCTTGAAAAAAAGGATGTGCTTGTCGTCGACCCAATTCGGCTCAGAGTAGGAGCTGTCCTCGTATAGAAGCGATGAATTCCCAGTGCTAATGTCGAGAAGGCGAAACTGCGAGGTCTTGGTGTGATTTTGGAAGGAGTATGTCGAGACCTCGAATGTCGTTAGTGAAGAAGCCCGAGCAGTATCTAAAGTGGTGTGCAGAGGACTTGCGTACGGTGTAAATAGCCTTGTCACCAGACGGATCGGGTATGGCAGGGGATCTACGTGGCGCAGAAAGGAGGATTTCCGGTGTGAATTTGGTAGCTTTGATCGTCATGGTGTTAAAAGTTGACTGTCCAGTCCTCGCAGTCTAGGGGAGATGAGAGGGCGATGCAGCTAATGTGAGCAGCTGTGCTAATTGAAGCAAGGCACCGCAGTTGGCTAAATATGTGTAGAGTAATTGAGCAAAGTGGTTCAACAAGGTGGTTTAAATGAGGAGGATCTGCAGACTGCATATACCGGTTGAAATACAGCGATGATGGTCTAGACACCAACTGTAGAATTCGATGGGTACCTATGCAAGTGCAGTGTTTTGAGCTTCATCCCCATGCAGCTTCTCCTCTTCCTCTTCCTTGTGCCTGTTACTTACCCCGCAATATAAGGTACAGGTAGCAAGGTCCAAAATGGGGTGACGTGAGCTCGGGGCAACAGCCATTGGCCACAGGTGCGGGGGAGCTGACCTACGGAGTACCTAGGTAAGTCTTCGTTCAGGTAGCTCCGTCCCGGTCTGTGTTAATAGTGGTCATTGGTAAGGTAGGAGGAATGACTGACCTACCCGAGAAGACTCGCAAGTGCCTCTGTGAGGATGGGCGGAAAATAGAGCATGGTCCTTAAGGTGTATTGTATCACGCTCACTTCCCCTCTCCCACCTTTTTGTCGGAAACTGCGAATCTCCCCGTTGAAGCCATACTTGAGGTTCAATGAGAAATGCTCTTTCATGTCATATTTGGGTCCTACCTCAGTACCTTAGTCAAAAAGAATACCATGAACTCGGGTATCAACGTTAGGGAACTCCTATAACTCCCCCCAGCCATGCCACGCCAACAAGCGTCCAGATTTGTGATACTTCGTCCCTGATTTCTTTGCCGTTGCTCCCACCGACGTTTCATTGATACGTAGCCGTAACCGTAAGCCGCTGCTTCCCAGCAACGTAAAAAGATCATTCCCATACTGCCAAGAGGGTGTGTGGTCCCATCCTAACGCCTAATCATTTCGTCATCGTCGGATATGTTTCGGCTCGCACGGTACGTTACGCACGTCCGTATGTACGCCTGGATTTTGCCAAGGAACCGAGAACTGCGCGTCCATCATTTGCGCGAAGCTCCAAAGTTGATGCGCTTCTTGTTGGGAGCCTGCGGCTCGGCCTCGCTGTCTTCCTCGTTTTGCTTCTTCTTCCTGCTGCCCCCTTTAGACGCTGTTGTCGATGCTGATGTCGCGCCGTTCTCTTTGAACGAGGCCGATTGCGGAGTAGGAGCGTGGGAGGCAGGTGTCGACCCTCCGGGAGTTGTGGCTTCCTATGGTATCGCGTCGTGTCAGTTGGACTTTGTTGGTCACGCCATTTAAGATGGAAGAGAAAAAGGAGGAGAAAAACGAAGAGAAAGAGGATCAGGCCGGGAAATGGGATGGCTGGGCACGCACGCTTCCAGGGCGATAGGAAATCGAGGAACGGGAGAAGACGCGATTCTGCTCGGCATTGCCTTGTTTCCTCCGCTGCGCCCCGCTGCCGCTCGTTCCCTTGATGTAGTTGTCGAAGCCGGCGATGATATTCCCGTACGGTGTGCTGTCAAGGTATGTGTTCTCTTTGCTCTCGATGTCGGCCTCTATAGCCGCGATCCGGCGGGCCAGTTGATTCCGACGGTCCAACATGGTCCTGAGCCTGGCCTGTTCCTCCTTGTACATCTGCATGGTGGGCGCGGGGCCTGATACCACAGAGGCGGCCCCTGTGTTGTTGTCTGCCATGCCGTCTATCATGCGGTGGTTTCGCGCGGTAAGTCGAGGTTAACGATTCTATTTCCACTGGCGCATGTGAGAATTTCGGATGTGATGCCCTCTGTCGAACTCTTGAGCTGGACTTCGTTGACGTTGATGGTTGTTCCAAGGAGCTGACCAAAGGATAACAAAACCTAGCCACAATCGCGTCGTTGCGGGTTGCCACGCCGGGCTCAATAGGATTCTTCATTATATAATCATGAAAGGGGGTCATGTGAACCTGTCCTTCGCTACATACCGGTATTATTAGGTAATCTTTGTCTCCTGACCTACCTACCCAAATTAAGCACGCCCCCTAATTCATCACTCGCTCTTCCACCGGCTGATCAACAACAACGAAGTTATTATATCGCAAGTATTACAGTTTTCTGTAGTGCCGAGAAGGGGAAATAATTTAAAGAACTTCCTAAGGGAGGTTGGGATCTTTTGGAAGATTATACTCAATGTCCCACGCCTTCGTTGTCCACATTTCCACCTCATGTTCCCCTGTTCATTAACCCGGGAGCATCTCTCCGTTACACCGTCGCATATCGTATTCGTCTAACCCCCGATTCTAAGCTCTATCTAGTCAGTTCCATACTCCATCTTCGCGAGACCCAAATTTTAAACAATTTCATTTCATTTTTGTGGTTCATCTAAGAAAAGTTGACACGGGTTGTTACGTGGAGTTGCTTGTTGCCCAAGGGAGTCACCATGAACCATGCGAAATCCCGAGTATAATCAAACTTTTACAAATCTGTTGATATGGGTCGAGGAAGAGCTATATAAAAAGTACCGGTCTTGGTCTATATACACCCAAATTCAAGCATACATACCGACATGCGACGAAGGGTCTTGTTGTCTCTGCCCCCTTAGTGGAGGAGACCGACTGCCTCCACTGTATGTCGTCCTAGATATAAAGGATATGGGTCTCCTCACGACCCCAGAGGAGTGCAATCGCCGTCGCTCTGCTGTCCAACAAAGTTGGCCGTGTGGTCCTCGCACCTGTTGGGCCAAGTCACGGGGCCAGGGGCCTGGTAGCTGGTTAGAGGGGGCCAGTAGATGTTGACGAGGATGCCAGGCTCGTTGCCGGTGTAGGCGCCGGGGAAGCGGACGGTGGGACCGGGGACGGAGCCATCATAGTTGCGGTTCTCGACTCGGATCTGGGCGCAGCCAATGTAAAACTGGGCACCGCCAAAGGAGCCCGCGCCGTGAATAGCCAGGTGCTCCGCACGGACGAGGTATTCACCCGGCGGGGTCTGCGGCGGAAGGGTGAAGGTGAAGTTGCGGATACCCACGTTGTTGGGGAAACTGGCCCAGTCGATACCGTAGTTCTCGCGGATCTCGCGCGAAGTCAGGGCGTAGATTTTGGACCATTCACCGTCTCCGAGGTAATTCTGCGCGGAGACGCCGTTCGGGGCGCGGGAGAGGTAGACGGCCAACGGACCGGGGTGGCCCAGGTCGACGTTTACGAGAAATCCGAGCTCGTCTCCCGCTTGGACCGTGTACGTGGATGTGGCAGCCCGGATATTGGCATCTAGTCCACCCTGGTTGCAAACCATATGCTGGCTTTGAACATTCTCGATCGGGCTGTTGGAGTTGGTTGTGCGGCGGACGTATTCGTACGGCCGTGTGGCCTGGCCATTGACGACGAGCGACTCAAAGTTGTAGTGGGCCGAGGCGCCTGTCAGCACAGCCGCGAGGGCCAACAGAGACGATTTAATGGACGGCATGCTGGGCAGTCCACAAACTTGGTATATGAATGTGGTGGGACTGGTAATTCCCAGTAGGAGAGGAAGAAAAAGATGGTCACTGTTAGTTCTTAAAACGACAGTCTAGACGAAAGGGATCGGCAAACGAACGACTCAGACCCTCTTTTATACTCGCTCGTTCTGGCCGCAGAGCCCGGGCCTCGTCCTCCGCCGTCGGATGATCATCCTTCCCTGATTTGAACCCGGACGCTTAAAAGCTGGCCTCGGTTATGTCAGATCTCCCGTGTCTAAACCTGGTTGCTGGGAAGGTAGAATGTCCGGTATTTCGGTTTCCTTTCCCGCAAATGGCGTAACGCAGTACTCCGATGATGCCTTGTAGTTTCAGCCCCTCAGCCAACAGGGAGGCGGGTGGTTGGCTTGTCGAGGAGAATAGAGTAACATCATTTGGGGGCCAAGATCCGTCCCCCTGGCACCTGCGTCGCAACGACGGAGCTTCCTGGTCCGTTACCAACCTGTGGATGTCCGAGAGAAAGCTCATGATATGCTTGGTTATATATCGGAAACCGCACGGCAAATATGAAGTAGAAGCAGTATGGTGGAGCTCGCGGTATTTGCCATCCTCCGAACCGTGAGATCCACAAAATAGGTCCACATAACCCCCGTGTGAGCCGGCGATGCCTCGCAGGGCACTTGGCGGTTTAAATGCCCGTAGTATGGAAGAGATGCAAAGCCACCAACATGGCGCCAAACAGATACCCCTCGACCAGCTTAATACAACTGGTCTTCGGCGTCATCCTAGTAAGGGCAAGCGCTTTAAGTCGAGCCTCGAGATATCCCGTGGCGCCAAGTGGCCGGCTTGACGGGATGTTCGCGCTGACAGGTAGGACTGAGAATAAATCGAACCCCGCAGTTCTCCTGGAATTGGTATTCGTACAGTAGAAAGGAAAGGCACCGGACTTTTGGTTGCAAAGACGGTCGAGATGCGAAACTTCCGGACGAACGCATTCCGCTAGCCAGACCTGAAGCAGTCAGCTGCCTCTTCCGTCCACATGTTTCACATGTTGACTTCTTGATTCATATTAGGCCTGCGGTTCCTTCCGGCACGATTCCATACGGGGTGGATGTCGTCATGAAGCGAGCATGGAAACTGGGCCATCACGGAGTGAGTCCCGTTGGATAATCCACCTTTCACTAATATATCCCGCACCTTCCAAATGAGCGCCTGTCCGTCGACGCCCGGTACCTAGGAGAGAGTATTGACTCGATATTGCAGCCAATCACCGAATTCTTATCCCGACACCCCCAATGTCATCCTACTCTTGTCCGTGAGGACTCTAGGCTCGCATCGCGCTCCTCCGAGCCCAATTGGGAAAATCGCTCGCGCTGTCGCTCGTTAATTCATAAAAGAAGATGCCGAGCACTTCCTGTTTCTTTTGATCGTGAAAAGAATTGCGTATTTCTGGACATCTTTTCCATATGGTAATACATTGTACCGCCAAAGCTTCTCGTCAGAGATCCAGCTCCCTGTACGAACGAAGTCATTTCAACGTAGCGAACCGATGTGTTGATTCCCTGTTCTTCTGATGCCCACCATCGTAGCATATTGCATCGTGGCTGTATGTCTGGGCTATCTGGAGCTGGCCCTAGCAGAGTTGGGAAATGAATACCCTGAGCCGTCTTGGTCGGGTTGAGGTTGTGTTGCGTCGCCGGGAAACAGCGTGAACGAGTTGTCGGTGCCCCAATTGGCGCTTTGTGTATAGTTCTCAAAGGCGGTCTGCAACGGTGTTAGCAGATGATTCCAATATGGCACGGCAGGGCGAGTCTGAAGCCTACCCAGTCAAAATTGGCCATAAGATCTCCGCTTGATTCGAGATTGGTGAACATGGAGAAGGGAGATTGAGGGTTGTTCATGCCCAAGTCGACTGGGACGTTAGGTGTCAAACCGGTGCCTGGGCCGTCTGTAGACATGCTGAAGTCCACATCGCCAAAGCCGTTGGGCCCAAGTGTCTGCATGCTCGCGAGGGCTGCTGCTGTGTCGGGGGTCATACCACTGGACAGCAAGCCTAAGGTCATGGCTGCAGAGTGTTCCGGCTTGATCTCGGACTGTGGATCGGAGTATCCTGACATATTCACGCCCCCATTTGGACTTTCTGACGAAGGATCAGGTAACCTAATCTTCTGAAGCATGATGTTTAAGCCCGTGTATGCTTTATATGCCTCCACCGAGGTATCAGCAAGGCCCTGGAAGACATTCTTGGTTAGTTCAAGGTGTTCTATCATGTTCAGCCGCTGTTCGGTCGTCCAGAAGAAGGATTCGTCTGGCGTCCTCCGCTCTCCACGAGCTTTCTCGACGTTGTCGTGATGTAGATCCATGGCAACGACCATGGCTGGAAGCATAGAGTCCTTGGTGGCAATTGAAGTAACATGCCATTGAATGGATTGGAGGCGCCCGGACGGTCGGGATTCTCGATGTAGAGTGGCCAAATGCTGGAGTATCTCTAGTGACGCCTCGACAGCAGCCCGGCGTGAGTGGGCATATCGTATGTTCTGCCGCGCCCGAGATAGATATCTTCTATGTAAGATGCACATAATTTTCTGGTAGAGCACGTCGATGTTGAACCTTGCCATGATGAGCGAGACCGGGTCATGAGAACCCTCCAAGGGCCGGATTTTCAGGTGCGGAGGGAGATCCTGCATGAATTCTCGCAACCTTGCGTCGAAGCGCAATATCTCTTCATAGTGTGCGGGCCTGTCGACTCGACCGGTAAGCTGGAGTATCCTTCCTAGCTCGAGGCAGAGCTTGGTTTTCGCAATCATGTAGGAGATTGGTGTAGGCTCTATGTTTGGACGGGACGGTGGTAGCTCGTTGATATCTGGACCAAATTCGTCGTCAAACAAATTACTCGGAAATTGGGTGTCGCAGTCCTCGTCACGAATCATGCTAGGCAAAGACACGTTGTGTGAGAACATTATGTCTGTCACTCTGATAAAGATCCACATGCGCCGCCGCATTTCCTGTGACACGTCGTGTTAGAAGACCAATGAACCCTGGAAAAAGAACCGGAGTGGATCGAGGCATAGACAAGGGACAATGACGTACAGCTTGGAAGGGTGTTAACGAGGGGAACCACTTCGCGTCACGATGGTAACCCAGCCGGAGGGCGATTCTGGTGATAAGTGAAGAGATCATCCACAGGCCCAAATCAGCATCCCACCGAGACGAGTATTCCCCGTAGACATAGAGCAGCATGGTTTCGACCGTGTACTCTCCCGGCTTCGTGTAGTCCCCTTCCACTAGACACTGGGCAGTTCGCAGACGGTATTCGGCCGCCATTTCTAGCGTTCGTCCTTTCCACTCCGGGGGCTCGTCGCCAACCCTGTTATAGCTCAACATGGCCAAAGTCAAGATGGCATAGAGCAGACCCAGCCACATGATCGAGGGCTTTGAAGGATCCTCCCAATAGGCTCGGAGCTCTCGTTGGAAAGTCGGTCCGTGAACGGCGTAGGTTCCGGTATCCATGGAGCTGAAGTACCTCCCGCAGAGCGTAAATACGCTTGCCCGAGACGGCAGGCCATCCCGGAGCTCCTGTGCGGTCGCCCTCGGGGCTCCGAGCAAGATTGTCGGGCCTTCCATGGCGCTGGGGGGTTTCGATAACCTGACTTTCTCATAGCTCTTCTCCAACTCTGTCTTATGCGTGTTGAAGTAATTTTTCACTTCTGCTATGTCTGTGAGGATGAGGTGCCAGTGTTCCTGGCCGATGTACATGGACTTCCCTTGATTTGGGTCGAACTTGAGGATGCCCAAGGATGTGGCGAGTCCTCCGTCCACATCGCTGTCGTCGTCGTTGTCGTCGTTCATCCCGGCCTCATCATCCCTGTCGCACTTAGAGGAAGACACACTGTCAGTGGTCATCCGTACCCTTTGCGGCGGTGTTGTCGATTTCCCGGACGAAGATGCAGTGGCGGCAACGGCAGCAGAAGACGGGCTAATGTTGGCACCTCCATGCATAAGTGACAATACAAGACCCTCCAGCCTATCAATTCGGTTCTGCATGTCGTCGGGGCTCGAGGAGCCTTGATTTTGATTCTTCTTCCGTGTGACAGGCGTCGCATAATGACATGAGTTGGCATCGCCTCCCTCACGCTTCATGCAATTGCTGCACGGGTGGTTCCTGTCGCATTTCCTAGACACACAAGAATCAGCAGGTTGAACGCAAACGAAACGTTTCAGCCTGGGACAAAAGTGTTCTTACAGCCTAGGATAGAGTTAGCTGGAGGCCATGGTAAGCGAGAAGGGAGAGATATTGTACGGCTCACTTTCGAGTTCGACATGGATAGCAACTCAGGGGAACCCTGTTTCTCTTTCGAACAACGCGATACTGTTCTTCAGGTGATCTCCCAGATGAGGAAGTCTCAGGTGGCGTCGGTGCCATCGTCGATAAGTGGCGCGGGCGTTGGCAAATAACGCGGGCAATCAGTCAACCGCCTGTAATTGCGCAAATATGCGTCGCCCCCAATTGTTATCCTCCTCTTGGTTGTTGAGATGCCAAACCCTTATGTGCCCCGATGTTTTAGCTGCGACGACGTATGATCAGGCGCCCGTCTTTTTTCTTAGTTGGCAGACGCTGTCCTCAGCTTGGACAGACAAGTCGACAATCGCAAGGCTGACTAGTCGTCCGTGCTGGACTTGGTGGGAATATGAAGTTTGACGGCGGGATGTGCTTCGGAACGCGCGTAGAAAATGCTTGCGCAGATATTTTGTCGGCTCCAACGTCCCCTCTGGTTGCTGATGTTATACAGCTAGATAGGTAGGTAATCGGGAGGAGGCGACAAAGGCTGGCTGCACAGGCGATCAACTTGATTCTAAGGCACAAGTGCAAAGAAACGGAGCAAACGGCGGTAGTTGTCAGTATCTCAGCGTCCGGTCATAAAAGTCATGGTCAAGCAATGTAACTGGCACGTAGATGACGAGGAGGAGATAAAGGGCGAGATGAGTATGTCGAAAGAAAAGTGAGACAGGAGGCTGAGTCGGAAGCTGATGCTGGCACACGCAAACCAGACAGGTGACAATCGTTATCTTCGCCTGGGTTACGTAGTGGTACAATTGGTATGAGGGGTACACGGCATTCGTAGGGTCCAGAGTCCACTAAGATGTATACTGTGATACAAATAGGTACTTCAGACCAACGGATATGCTCCACACTCGAAGCTAAAATTTCACCCAGTAGGGCAGAAGTCAACACGAACGCAAAAGAAAACCCCTAACCTTAGGTACCTGACCTTATTATCTTAGGTACTTTATGTAAGGTTCCCGGCCTAAACCGGTCAAAGATACATCCAAAGCATATGAGAAAGGTACCAGTTTGACTACACGCGATAAGACGGTTCTGGCCATCGAGTGTCTGCGCATTGAGCTACCTTAGCCAAGCATGCGTGAACTTCAGTAATTTCTAACATTAATTATACCGCACACAATTTCTGCAATAATGTTGTCACTGCGTTACCAGGTGGGTGCCTACCTTAGGCAGCAAAATTGTGGTTGACGACAATCCCTGTGATATGCTCCTCGCCTCAGGATTTCGACAACCCCTGATCGGATATAGTAGCCCCTTAAATCCGCCACGAGGATCCTTTTCACCAAAATTCAGACATTCAGTGTGAGTCATCTGCACCTCTCTCAACTACATTTCACGACAACAGCAACTACTTTCGAGGCGATATCAGAGAAACACCTGCCGGCCCTCTTTTACTCTGGCTTGTGTGTTTGTTGGAGGCACATTAGCAGAGAGCGTATCAACAATCCACTCTTGGTACTGGCACGTTCCCGAGACGTTGGTTTCGAGTCGATTTAAGAAGATCCTTTTCTTTTCCTGTAGGTATTAAGAGAGCAGCACTCCGTCATACTAAGGGGAAAGCACAATGCTCAAGACGCGAAAAACCAACGGAGTCCTAGACAATCTATTTTGAGAGAAGTGTGAGAACTAGGCCCTCAACAAATGCCGCCAATTCCTCCCCGCGCCCTTTTTCTCTGTGTCTCACTCCTCGGTATCGTGTGGCTCCAAACGTCGGGCTCGAAACGTAGCCATGAATTTTCGTCTTTCGGGAACCCTGCGCAACGACCCAATGCCAATGCATCATGAAGAACGGGAGGTGTAGTAGCCTCAGGCGCGGGTCAAACGCCACCCGTGGGTTGTCTCGCCGTTGTTAGTGAGCCATATATATGTGGCCGACTTGAACTCCCAAGGCGACGCTCATCAGAAGGGCGCGTGGTCAACGGGGCCTCCATCGCCCCGCCCCCTTTTTTTTTCTTTTTACACAACTTGACTTATGAATCTGCGACGTTGTCGGCATTCGACTTGACGCTGTAAGGTGCCAGGAACTCAGGGTCGTTTTCCAGCTCCTCCTTGACCTGGGACAAGTCAGTCACGGCGAACAAGGCCAGAGAGTTTGGAACAAATCTGGTATTCACTTACGATATCTAGCCCACCAACAAGCTCGCCCCCGATCCACAGCTGGGGGTATGTGGGCCACTCCGCATACTCCTTCAGACCCTGCCGTACCTCGTCATCGGCCAAGATATTGAAGAAGCCGTACTTGACCGAGTGCTCCCGCAGAATGCCCACCATCTGTCGCGAGAAGCCGCACTCCGGGGAGCTAGGGGTTCCCTTCATGAACAGCATCACCGACGCGGCCTTGACCAGCTCCCCAAGCCGCTTAAAAAGTTCTTCCTTTGCCTCTTCCGGGTCTACTGGTTCCTCCGTCTTCGCCGGCGCCGCCTTGCTAACTGCGTTCGCGTCGCTCGTCTCAACACCGTTTGCACTGGTGGGGCCAGCCGAGCCGGCGGATTTCTTGGCCTGTGTCTCGATGGCGTTGCGCACCTTGACCGCACTGCTTCCGCTAACGGTTTCGAGGACTTTGCCGTTCCTGATCAGGACGAGGAACGGAACGGCAGTAACGTTATAGGCTTCGCTGAGGTCGCTTAGTTCTTCGGCATTGATCGACACCCAGGACGTTTGGGGAGGGTCCGTGACAGGGTAGTCGGCGGCGAGCGTGGACAGGACGGTTGCCATCTGGGCGCAGGGGGCGGCCCAAGGCGCATGGAAGGACATGATGAGAAGTGTCGACGGCGGGAGTGTTTCGATATGGTTCTCCCATTCCGGGATGCTCGTCATTTCCTTGATGTTCGACATTTTGATGCTTTATGACACGGTATGCTCAGATCGAGGCGTGTTGCTGCGTACTTAATTGCTGTTGCACAACCAGTATCAATGATATCGTGGTGGATGTGTGAAGATCTCGAATGCGACGACTTTAGATCCAAAGAAGTGGTTACTCCGTAGTATCGTGGATTATGAGTCTGCTACTGCTCCTGATTAAAAAGTTGTTTGGAGCTGTTGCAAGGGAGCAGGTGGCGGTTTATTATCAATCAGTCAAAAGCCTTCGACTGGTCGCGGGGCATAACCCCTCCAAGATGAGAGAGTTTTCGATACGTTCTTCTGCTTAGGTCACTAGTGCGGGTCTATTTAACTGATTAATGTATAAGGATGCTTATATCTGGGATATTGAACCGCCAGAGGTCATATTGCGTCATTTAGCACCAGGCTTCTGTGGTTTATGCACTATTCAGAGCTTAGGTACCTATCGGCGTACCATTGCCCCACACTTGCACGGCGAGTTCCTGACGATGGCAGGGGTGAGGGTCCCCACACACGCTACGGAGTACATACTTCCCCGCTCAATGTTGGCACCTGCGCATGAGCGACTCAATGCTGTGTTTTTCAAGTCCCATTCGCTGTTTGTGCACAGCCTTCCCAGTCTCCGTACCGGCTGGGTCGCAGCAGGGGTTGTTACGTCAGCTTCCTCGTCGTCAGACATTGCCAGTGACACCTTGAAACGGCACTCCACGAATTGCTTGTTTCCAAGGTTCTCTTAAATATCTGCCTGGTAGTACTCCATAGTCCAAAGGCCTCCCCTCTTTCTCGCATCGAAATTCACCATCGACCACCAGGCCAGAGCTTCTCACGAACGCTTGTCACGAACGTCTGAAATTGACCCCGTGGCCAGCCCATCGCTATGGCGTCGCTCAATCTCTCTATCAACGGGCCCTCCATCAAGAGCAGCTACCAGGCCGTCATCCATGGGCCGGCCCCGAGCTCGAGCTCCCCAACACATGCTCAATGGGCATTGTTTTCGGTTCAGGCTCCCTTAGCCAACGCCTTCCAAGACACTGGTTCGAAGGAGAGTATTCTCAAGGTCCAAACCACTGGGGGTAAGTAAGCTTGGAAAAGCATAAGACTCGTACTTTAATCTAATCTTTCTGGAACCCGGCTGACGCGGTCTCCGCTGTTCAGAGGGCGAGCTTTCCGATCTGATCGAGGATTTCAACGAGGGCCGCATCCAATTCGCTTTTGTCAAGGTCAAGGATCCCAACTCGGGCCTCCCCAAGTTTGCCCTCATCGCTTGGTGCGGAGGGGGTGTTCCAGAGAGGACGAAGGGTTATTTCACCACCCACACCGCCGCCGTCTCGAAAGTTCTACACGGCTTTCACGTACAAATAACTGCTCGCTCCGATGCGGACCTTGAGCCTGAGACAATTGTCAAGAAGATCGCGGATGCTTCGGGCGCCAAGTACTCCGCCGGCTCTGCCGCCCTTTCTTCTGCCGCCGCCACGGGGTCCCGGCCGCCAGTCGCATCGAAGCCCGTGTTTACTCCGACTGCTTCATCCTCCGCCGTTAATCCCATCGTAGCGGCACGAAACCGGAGAGGACCCAGTGTTGATGACGATGGCTGGGGCCACGATGCCCCGCCCGTCACCCGAACTGAAGTCGAAAAGGTCGAATCGGCTTATAAGCCCACCAAAGTCAATCTAGCAGAGCTCACGGGCCAGCGCCAGGAGCCCTCTCGCTTTGTCCCTACCAGGAATGAAGAAGACCGCAGCGACGTTGTGAAAGGAGGCTACCAGCCCATTGGGAAGGTCGATATTGCCGCTCTCCGTGCCGCCGCGAAGGAAGAGAAGGATGACCGTCCCACGCCCGTCAAGGGTTCCTACGAACCCGTGGGGAAGGTCGATATCGCTGCCATTCGGGCAAAGGCGCAGAAGCCTCCCGAACCCCAGCCAAGCAGCGAGGAACAGGAAGAGCGGCCTAGGTCGCTGGCTGAGCGCAGTGCCGCCTTTAACCAATCGCAATCGGAACGTCTGACGTCGTTGCCGAAACCCAAGGTGGCACACAAGTTTGGCGGATCGGCATTTACCGGTACTAAAGCACCCACGCCAGGCGGCCTTGGCTTTGGCTCCCCGGCTGTTACTGCCGCACCTCCGGTCGGCGCTGCTAGCCGAACGTTTGCAGACCAGGGCGGCAAAACTCCCGCACAGCTCTGGGCAGAAAAGAAGGCGAGGGAGGGAGGGGCTGTGCCAGCGCCTTCCCCTGCCGCTTTGGGCGCTCAAAAGAGTGGATCATCTGTCACCACTCCTCTGGGTGTCCAAAAGAGCGGAGAGTGGAAGAGTGGCTACACGGGCAAGTCATGGGCTCCGGTGCACACCGCTGGATTTGATCGGGAAGCGTCTGGCAGGTTGAGCAGGGACCACACGGGTGATACCGCTGAGCGAGGGGAACAGACTGCGGAGCCAAGCGGCGGTGTCGGCGCGTTACGGGACCGCTTCAAGAACACGGCACCTATTGGTGTTGGTGTCCCTCCTCCTGCTCCCCAATTTGCGCGCGACGAGCCCGAAGAGCAGCGCCAGGAACCCAGCCCGCCCCCCCCTCCTCCGAGCGAGACGAGGCCGTCCGGTGGCTTTGCTCTTCCCGGCTTACCGGCTCGCCCGCCTCCGCCTACAGACGAGGAAGAAGAGGAACCGGAGCCAATTCCGCCTCGCCCGGCCCAACGTCCGGTCGAACCCCAGCAGGATGGCTATGAAGAGCCCGAACATTCTCCCGTCCGCGTTGCCGTTCCCGTCCCCCGCGGCCCAGAGCCTCAGCTGGAGCGTCCCGAGGAACGCCAGCCTCCCTCCATCCCGACCCAGGAGCTCGAGAGGGGGTTGCCCAAGGAGGAGGACCTGCCGAATGAGTCGTACGACGTGGGACGAGGCGCTGCCACGGCCGCTGCCGAGCAGGAGTTGGGCCGTGACCAGGTTGCTGCAGGCCAGGCACAGCCGGGTGGCCAAGTTGGCGGCAAGCGCGCAATCATTCAGTACGATTACGAGAAGGCCGAGGACAATGAGATTGATCTACGCGAGGGCGAGTATGTTACCAACATTGACATGGTGGATGAGGACTGGTGGATGGGCACCAACTCCAAGGGGGAGATCGGGCTGTTTCCCAGCAACTACGTCGAGCTTGTCGCGGACGAGCCTACGCCGGCGCCATCAGCTGCTGCGGTCCCGTCCTCAGCACCTGCTCCCGCGGCGCCTCAACGCGCTCCTGCTTCCGCATCTCAGGGCCGTACTGCTACGGCCTTGTACGACTACGAAGCCGCCGAGGACAATGGTAAGGATTCTCTTGGTCATACTCTTAATGTATGTGGATTTGACTGACGTTTGAAAATTAGAACTGAGCTTCAACGAGAACGACAAGATCACAAATGTCGAATTCCCCGATGACGACTGGTGGTTCGGTCACTCGGCCAACAAACAGGGCCTTTTCCCTGCCAATTACGTCGAGCTCGACCGTTAAAAGGAGGAGACGGATGAGGTACAGGGGAGGGGGACAGAAGGTATGACGGGCATACTCTTTATCGGTTTCCTTTTGTCTTCCTTGACTTTGTCGCATGTTCCAGCTCTCAGAGCCGCAGGTGTTCGCATATATGATAGGGTGAATCCAGAAAAGCTTTACACGAGTAACCTGATTTCGAGTAGTGGAGGTCCCAACTACGATCTCTCCTGGCGCGGTACAGTTATCTGGTAGAGGGCTAATAAGAATGACGGAATTGCAAAGTAACCCTCTCGCTGCTGGCTTTCGTCCGCTGGGAAACGGCTAGTGCGTAACTATAAATCGCGTGGGAAAGCGAGGGAGGAAGAAGAAGAAGAAGAAGAAGAAGAAAAAGGGGCAGGTTGAAGAGGCCTCCCTAGTTCGAACTCCTGAAGATGAAAATCCAGAGGCATTGCCATCGAACCATTCCAGCCCGATTAGCCCCCGAAGAAAGCAGCAACCGTCGTAGACCCAGAACATAATGATACTCTAATAGTGAAACGCTTTGACGTTCAAACGTCCAAACCACCCCAAGGAGAAGGGAAATGCCCTATTCACAGCCCGGAAAGAAAAATAACGCTCTAACACATGTCGGCGCAGCAGTCGCAGCTAAAGAAGAAACGCATGAGCACAAGACCCGGTTTCCGGCCTTTGCCCAAGGGGGCTGGGCTGGACGAAGAGAAAATAGGGTTCATTCAGAACATGGTCGGGTTAAACTCACCAATCTACGCAGCACTCGCAAGCCTCGTCGCACATGAAACAGCAGCACAGCGTCGCGAGACAGGCGGCGAGACAGCCCCGCTGCTTCTGGTTCCCGCTGCCACTTTGCGGCGGAGGAGGCCCCGGCTGCTGGTAGGCCATCTGAGGTTGCGGTTGGGGTGGCGGGTAGTAGCCCTGAGGATTCTGGGGGGCACCGCCGTAGACCTGTCATTGTGGTAGTGGAGGAGCAATTAGCACAGGGCTCCCAGTCGGTGAGTATGTGATCGGGACGGTGAGATGAGATTTGGTCGTTTGAAGAAAGCAGGGGTGATAAGAGTCGATGATGAGTGTAGCGAACGGAAGGACGGGATAAAGGGAGGAGAGAGAAGGAGAGCATACGGGTTGAGGCGTCGGTGGTCCATAATACGGCTGCTGTGGCGGGGGCTGTTGCTGCTGGAACCCCCCTGGGTTATAGTATTCCTGGCTTGCCATGTTGGCTCAAGACTCTGTCGAAGTTCAGAGCGGAAGGATATGTTGGTAAATCGTCATAAACCATCGCACCGGTGTGCCTCGTCAGCACCGAAATCTAGGTAAGGTACGCACATGATGTCACTTCTTGTACTCCGTAAGGTACCAACGTTGTCCGTACTGTTGCGGGTTCTAGAATGCTTCGTTACGTAAGCGATACGGTTGGAAACCTTAAGCCAATGGTAGGTCCAAGCGGCGCCACAAACAAGCCACTGCGGCTCTCAACGAACGGGCAGTCGACTTCGAGATCGGGACAAGGTTCCGAACGAAGTACTTTGTACGTGGTTCATCGTGTATCACCTCAATTTGGTTCATTTAAGCTTCAGATATTCGCTTCTCTATCCCGCCTCATGCCCTCTCATTGTACAACCCCATAGAGGGACAAATAATATCCACTTCGTATAAAGTACAGAAAGATCAAATGGCCGTGTCCTAAGGTGTGAGTGAGTACGTTATATGTCTGTCACCTCTCGTACCTGGGCAACGGCTCGGACCTCGCCGAATGGTTCGCCGAAGATGATATACCCCCTGTTTCCGCTCTTGCCTCGGTACCGTATGCGTATTGGGCACCGTATTCGTCCTCCTCCGTCAGCACCGGCGCTGAGGGTTCAAAATCCTCTGCCTGTCGCGCTGTCGGTGCCGATGGTCGGCTGGGCCCAGATTCGTAATCATCTGGGAACTGGGGCGGTGCGCTTGCTTCCCTGAGCAGCCGCTGTCTCTCTAACTCTAGTTTGTCCTCTCCCTGTCCCGACTCGATGTCTTCTAGCGTCGGAGCCGAGGGGCCTTGCTCTACACCATCCGTTTCCGCGCTCGATGGAGCTGTCTCGAGTGCTGAAGTCATTGGCGGTACCATAGCTGGCTCGTCGTCCGCATCGTATATGTTGGGTTCGGGCTCTGCTGCGGCCGATCTTGACGGTCCAGCTTCAGCTTCTGGGGATCGTGGAGGTCGGCTGGGAAGCAATCTCTGTTCCTGGAGCCTCACTCGCTGCTTGTCCGTGAGCGTTCCCTCGTCCGGAAGTCGCGGCGGCGGAACATAAGCCGGGGCCTCTTCGTTGACACCTAGCCCGACTGCCTGTGGCGGAGCTGCTGTGGCCTGTCCATTCAACAGCTGGGCACGCGGCGATAGCGGCTGTGAGGGTGTTGGCTGTGAGGGTGCTGGCTGCAACGGCGCTGGCTGCGACGGCGCGGGTGTGGATGGTGCGGATGGTTGCCAGTGCCCTGGGCCACTCTCCACCGGAATGTCCTCTGACCAGGGGCTGATAATCTCATCCTGGCTGGTAGAATCGTCACGCAGCTGGTACGTCATCAGCGTGTTGCTCCTCCCTCTTTCCCTGGTGCTGTCAACTGTCCCCATGACGAGCTCAAGACTGCCCCAAACCACGCCTTTGAGGTTTCTGTGCCGCAGCGCCTCCGTGTCGATGATGTTTCCGCCGCGGGACATGTAATTGCTTCCATCCATGGCGCTCGTGCCCGCCCCGTAGCCTCCTCCTCCCCTGGATTGATTACTCCCTTGCAAATAACTCGCCATCCGGCCTCCTAGATCCATGACGACTTCCACGTAGTACCGGAAGCTGATCATGCCGCCGGGGACGCCTTTTATCGTGGGGAAGGCATCTTCGGGCACTTTAACCGTCGCCGACACCGTCGTTTCCAGAGTGTCTGGGTCGATGATGAGCGGAGCCACGACTTGTGACAAGTCCTTACGGAAATGAGGCCGTGACCTGGAAGACGACGACAAAGAGAGGCCGCTCAGCCCCGTCCTCGACCTGGGAAAATAATCCTCTTTCGTCAGTCTCTGCGAGTCGTGCTCAGACACTACGTCGGCAAATAGAGATGACGGCGGAGCAGTATCAATTTCTCCTCGCCGGTACAAAGTAATAATAAGGCCGTGCATGCTTTTCAGGGGCTTGGTATGTTGCACCGTAACTCGTACGGTAGTTGTATCGCCGGCGAGGGCGCCGCCCCGCAGAAGCTGCATCGTCGCAATGATGGTCTTGTCGTCCACGGCCTGCAGCTTCGCGTTGGCGGCGAGAGCTGTGGCCACCTGCATATCGGGCACTTGGTCGCTCAGGTTGCTGCCCGATGTCCTGCCGCTCTCGGCACTGACCTCGCTGCGAACGTCGTGCTGTATTGGACTCCCCTGCATGTCGTTGGCATCTTGGCTTTGCACTTCGGCTCCTATCGGCGTTGATTCGGTGACCGAGTCGCGGTCGGAGCCCTGATCCGTCACGTCCGAAGAAATCGGAGGTCTCTCCTGCCCTGCTGCCTGCTTTCTTCTCCTTGACTTCTTGGATATCGGTTCAACATAGATCATCTTCGGTCGGGGGCGAGGAAGGAGGCCGATATCAATTTTCTCGATCAGTGCTATCTTGCGCTCGCACGTGGTTGTGGCATTGATCGAGGTCGGGCGTGTCATCGTCGCGGTAATCATGTAGGATATTGTTCCGCGTTCGAACTGTAACAGAAAAGTCAATAGGGGAACGCACTGATTAAGCGGTGTAACCGGATTAAGGAGGGTGAAAACATCAACCATACATCAATACTGCTGGGGAGACCCTTTCCGGGGAACTGCAATTCGAACCTAAACTGGTACTTGGCCGCTTCCAGCCTGCCCTCGCCAGCGAGGACCTGCTCATCCTGGAAAAGCGAGGCATAACCGTTGCCATGATACTGTGTCGAGGGGTAACCGCTCAAAACGGGATTTGCCAGTTCGCGGTCGGCGACGGCGGGCCCCTTGGAAACGCGGACGTAGCCATGGAGCGAGACCGTCAGGTGTGTGATGCGTATGGGTTTGACGACGGTCACTATGACAGAACCGTAAACCTTGTCACCGGCAGAGTATTGGCGGTGGGGTTCGCTAGGGCTAATGTGGAAGTCTGCGAGATGGCGGGTGCGATTGCGGTTCGGGAGGGCAAAGCGCGAGAGAAAGGACCGGGCCGGGGAGGGTTTCCGATCGACGGGGCTGACGGGATTGAGATACGTGCCCATATATGCGGCGAGAGACAGACGGCGGCGAGGCTGCGGGTCGCCGACGACGCCGGTCTCTTGGTGGCGAGGCGAGGACGGTAAGGAGGCGGAGGAACGAGACGTGCCGGGTAAGGCCGGCGACGGTGGAGAGGCGCCAGCAGGAGGCGCGTTGCCGACCATCCGGCAGGCCGTGCCAACGCGCGAAAGGCGCCTCGCGTGGCGTGCGTGTTGAGTTTTTCCGTCCTTTTCGCCCCGTGTATTTGAGTCTCCTCCGACAAGAGAGCAACGACAGTGGCGGTAATTGTTTCTCGCCTATTGAATGATCCACTCAAGTTTCAATCAAAGGCTCGATCTTAAGAGGCAGAAAGTGCTGTGTGTTATCTTGGGTCCCCACGGGTTGGGACGATTGGAATGTCAAGATCGTTTGGATTTTCGTGGTCGTCGTCGCGTCGCCGTTCGCCGTATAGTCGTAGTGTCGTCGAGAGTCGTCGCGGTCGTCCAGTGGTCGGGTCGTTGTCGCAGAACTGGGCAGCCCGTGGTCTTAGAAATTGGGTGACTAACAGAGGTTTATGTGATCTGTGGTGTGTTGATCTTTGGTGGATGCTGGGCGCTGGGCGAGGAGAGCAGGTACTAGGTGATGAGGGACGAAGGTAGGCAGACGACGAGGATGGACGAGGGTGGGAGAGGGTGATGCCACTTGCAGGTGCCAAGAGATTATTACGGGGCAACCCTGCCAAGAAAGCTTCGCTCTTCTTGTACCGACGACCACTGGCGCTTTCTCTTTGTTCTCTCCCCTTCGTATCACAGACAAAAACACAAGAGCACAGTAATTTTAGTGCGTGCACGCAAATGCATAAACTAATAGCACTCTAAGAAAGAGGGGACAGAAACGTGGGAAGCCGAAGCCTTGGCTGACAACTTTGAGAAAGCAAAGAATGAGGAATCAGAATTCAAATCAGAATTCAAATCAAAATTCAAACAGAGATGCGAGTAAAGAGGGGGGGTTCATCTCATAATTTAGTTTCAGGATGCAGGGAGACCGTAATTAAAAAGTGGCCTGAGATGGATGACGAATGATTCCAGGTTGTCAGGGAAAGCGGGGACTTTGGAAGAGACCGACGCGATGACCTGGGCTTCGGCTAGGGAACACCTACCTAAACTAAGGTACCTTACTAAATTAGTATACTACCTTAGGTACCTACCTAAGGTAAGGCACCGTACCTTGCCTACCTAGGTATTATTGATGTCAGAAACAATGCCATCCACGTGCCTTACCGGTAGGTAGATAAGGTAGTGTCGAATAAGGTACCTTACGTTTGGAGTACATGATACGGAATACCTGACCCCTTAGACCATTGTTTTTCCTCGGCCGTTGTTGGCCGTTGTTCGCCGGTGTTTCAGCAGCTTGGACCCTTCCACTGCTTACTAGCCCGACCGCCACCAGCACGCTTTGAAATAATATGATCCAAACCATGCTCCGTGTCGTGCGGGCTCATCTTCAGGCATCCAACCAAGACGCGGAAATTTCGAAAGTTTGCTCTTCATATACAATTGGGCCATATACTACCGGGTGAACATTTCTCTTGCTTCATACTCTTGTATATTCTCGTCCAGCCCGGCATCGGCATGGTCGTATAAAGTACCAACTGCTATCTTCCTTTCGTTTATCCAAGTCCCACGCCCGGATGCTTAAGACTCCAATATCAAACGCTAAAGTAATGATCTCATCCACGCAATGCCATGTCATGACGTACAGGATTTTCTCCCGTCGGACGCCTGAAACAAACAACTCAAAAAAAAACCCCCACTTCCTCTTTTCTTCGCTTGATTTTTTACCAATCTAATCCAAGGCGTCTCCGCTGAGAATACTCTGGAGAATGCCTGCACCAACGCCCTGCGTCATCTGTTCCATCTCCTTCTCCCCGACACAACTAGCCAGTCGTTTCTCTTCCGCCGTGATCATCACGGCGTTCCGTCTCCTCTTGCTGGGCGTTTGAGCAATGAGACCCCCCAACTTGCCGTCTACCGGGTTGACTAGGCCGAGAGTCTCCAGGCTGCCCACTACCTCGCGGAACTCCGAACTCGATAGCGGGTGCAGCACAGAGTCCTGCGTGCAAAGGGTAGAGTATGTATCATAAAGCATCTTGACTGTCGGGGCAAGAGTCCGTGACTTGGAAGGCGTCGCTGGCGCGGTCGCCATTCGTGTTATCGTGTCCCGGTTCCGCTTCTCCAGTGCGACGAGAGCACATAAAGCCGCCTTCTGCTGCAAATTCAGGGCCTTGAGTCGCTGGCTCGTTCCGTTGCTGAAGGCGGCCTGCGTAACCTTGTTCAAGTGGGCGATGGATGCACGAGGCGCCGTCTCCGGCGCTAGCTGTCTTAGCGACGCGGCCGCCATCTGTGCCACGCTCCTATGACTCTCGCCCCTGGACGGTGACAATTTGTTGGCGGCTTCGCCGAGCGGCTTCCGGGAAGGTGTCATTTGCAACATCTTCTCCCGTGCCTCCATCTCATGCTTCTCTCTCTGCTCGGCCTCTACTAAATCAAGAGCTCTTCGGCAAATCTCGAACGCCTTCCGGAGGTCACCAGTTTGGCTTGAAACCTTTCTCGAGCAAAGTTCGATGGCCGCTGGGTGAATGAACGGCGGTGTTGCCTGTTGGCTGCCTTCGGGAAGCAAACTCTTAAGACGTGTGGTGATGATGTTCTTAATCTGTGCCGCGGAGTAGGGGTGGAATGGTAGCAGGTCCGGCTTCAGATTCTTGGACTTAAGTCGCGGCAAGAATCGGTCTGTGAGATCCAGGGCGTTGGCGATACCGATCAACATGAGCCTGGACGGCTTTTCCAACGACCACTCAAATAGCCGATAGAGACTTTCCAGACCCATAGTCAACACGTGATCGATCTCATCGAGCACGACCATGTAGATGGGGCTGTCCTTCTTCGAGGTGATGAATATTTTCTGCAGCGCGGCTATAGCTTGCGCCTCGGATCGGTCGCCGCTGTGCCCAAGGTTTTCGAGCAACGCGTGGTAGAGATCCCTGGATGACTTGATGCTCATGCAATTGACAAATGCGTGGCGCACGTTTGTAGTTTCCGGCCTTTCCGACCACTGCTGTGTCACGTCCTTGATCATGGCGCTCTTTCCGGTACCTGGAGGCCCGCTGACATAGAGGCAGCCGCCAGGGCTTGAAGACGAACTACGTTCGACGAATTTGACCAGGCGTAGACGCTCTGCTTCGCGGCCGATGAGTTGTCCGGGATCAGCACCTCGCGCAAAGAGCTGCCGCGCAGAATGATACACCGTCAGTTGGGTGCTCGGAGAAGAAGGTGTCTGAGGAGTTAGTCTCTTGAAGAGCTTCCCAGCGGACATGACAACATGCCGCGGAGTTGTCGGGGTGTTGGCAAAGGCATCTCGGTGCCGTGGTGTCTGTGGGGTGATTGGTACAGGGCTAGAAAGGCTAATCTTGGATCGTGGGCGACCTGGTCTACGCGGTGTAGGTGTTGCGATGCAAAAATCGTCGTCATCGTCATCATTGTCGACCTCAGATATCTTGTGTAGAAATCGTTGCGTGGTAGTTGTTTCTGGGTTTACGTTCTCGTCGTTCACTTCTCTCAGGCGGGCGAGGGACCGTCTAGTTCGCTTGGCCGGGGAATCGGTATAAAATACTGTAGGAAATATATGAGTAACGAATTATCTTTGACAGGGTTGGACTGGGGCTTTGGATCGTTCTTACTATCGTCGGGTAGATCCCTCGTCCGTTTCCCAAGGCTGGTGCGAGGCATGGCAGCAAAGGTGAGAACGGCCCCGATGGTCTAAGGATGAATTGTGATTGCCAAATCAATTGATGCTTGACGTGATAAGGAAGAAAGGACAATGGACAGAGTGAGGAAGCAACGATGTGGTGAAAACCGAGGTTGACCAGATGTACACAATAAGGCACATACAAGTTGTTGCATTCCTTAGGACAAGTTGTCAGGGCGTCGGGTGCTCCCTGCTATGGGAAATTAATACAAGGTAGAACCGCGTGCCAGGGAAAGTGGACCATGTTCGACGCGTAAATTGATCTCGCGTTCGCGTTCCAGCACGCGTGCCACACGAACCCTCCCGCGTGTGGCTGAGGCGCTGTGGTTCATGCAACGATAGGTACCATAGGTAAGGTACCGTACTCCACAGCACAGTGCTATCTGAGGCACATGTGTGTCTTTTATTACTGTGCCCTATGCGTCATTCAGATAACACACTGGGGGCGAGGGGCCGGAGGTGCCCGCTGTACAATTGGACCTTTTTAGGAGCGGCCATCACCGAGGTCCATTCGAACTTAACTTGACCAGGCCGGAGACGATGTCTTTTGTCTCTTGTCCCGGCCATGTCTGTTTGCCCAGTCATGTTCTATCCGATATGAACTGGACTCGCAGGTTGTCCCTGATCGACCGCCTTATAGTTGGTTCCCACAGCTGCCTGCAAGAATCGCCACAGCCGGGCAGTGTTCCCAGCTCTGCCCTCGATCTTCATTGAATGCAACTTCAGTTATCCCCGACCAGGCAATGAGGCAACCTATCTTCTCATTTTCATGAGGCTCAAGATGGAGGACAATTCTGCTGGATACAACTCCCGTGTGGAGGAACTACGAAGTCGCGAATTTCCCATGTTAAAAGGTCAGTAAAATCTCAAACCTTTTGATCGAGATGTCACCTCTAGTTGACACGTGCCATCAGATTCTGTCTATCTCGATCATGCCGGGACAACTCTGTACTCAAAGTCCCTGGTGGAAAGGGTTTCCGCTGATATGATGTCCAACTTGTGGGGAAATCCGCATTCGGGTTCATCACCATCTCAGTACACGACTGCCCGCATCGAAGACATTCGTGTACGCTTACTCCATTTTTTCAATGCCGACCCGGCCAATTTTGATTTGGTCTTCGTCGCCAACGCAACCGCTGGTGTCAAACTCATCCTCGAAGCATTCCGTTGCCGGCGAGACGGATTCAGTTATGTCTACCATCAAGCCTGTCATACGAGTCTCGTAGGAGTTCGAGAAGAAGCCAAGGAGAGCGCCTGTGTCGATAACGCCGCAGTTCACGCTTGGATTCAAGGGAAGAATCCCTTCAAAGCGCATCCAAGGATAGGATCTGCCGTTCTCTTTTCATACAGCGCTCAATCCCATTTGGACGGAACACGATATCCCCTGTCGTGGTCGCACGACCTGAGACGAGCGACCAAAGCCTCCTCCTTACCCCTGTACACCCTTTTGGATGCTGCCTCCCTCGCTGCCACATCGCCACTGGATCTCGGCAATGCAGAGTCTGCGCCCGATTTCACCGTCGTCAGTCTCTATAAGATCTTCGGATACCCCGATCTTGGAGCTCTGATCGTTCGAAAGCAAGCGGAAGGTGCTTTTCAATCTCGGCGATATTTCGGTGGCGGCACGGTAGACACTGTTCTCTGCGGGAAAGAACAGTGGCATGCACCCAAGAGTCAATATCTACACGAAAGACTGGAAGATGGGACGCTTCCGTTTCACAGTATCCTCGCTCTCGACGCAGCTCTCGAGGTCCACCAGGAACTCTTTGGGTCCATGGATCGGATCTCCTCGTACACCGCCCATCTCAGCCGTCGTATGTTCCGTGGCCTCGCTGGCTTAAAGCACGCCAATGGGGAGCCAGTCTGTGTTTTGTACTCGGCGCAAACCGGCGACGGGGATGGGCCTCATCCCGGACCCGTGGTATCATTTAACATCAGAAACGCGTCCGGTGCCTGGGTCAGCCTAGCCGAGTTTGAAAAGCTAGCTGCTTTGAAGAACTTCCATGTACGGACTGGCGGCGTATGTAGCCCTGGTGGGGTTGTCGCTGCGCTTGGACTACACCCCTGGGAGGTGAGGAGGAATTTTTCCTCCGGCTTCCGCTGCGGAACAGACCAGGATATCATTGCAGGCAAGCCGACAGGCGTCATTAGAGTTAGCCTCGGTGCTATGAGTATTGTCTCGGACGTCGACCGGTTCATCTCCTTCATCGAGGAATTCTACAGGGAGGAGGAACCAAGCATCACTCTGCCTGCTGTTTCTCGATGCCCCGAATTTGTCAGGTTCGAGGTCCAGCAAATAATGGTCTATCCCATCAAGAGCTGTGCTGGGTACGCCGTTCCTCCTGGTGTACCTTGGGAAGTGAAGCCCGAAGGCCTGGCCTGGGACCGAGAGTGGTGCCTTGTCCATGAAGGAACTGGCCAAGCACTGAGTCAAAAGCGATATCCCAAAATGGCCCTCATCCGCCCCTTTTTAGACTTCGACAATGGTGTGCTGCGCTTGAAATACTGTGGCCAAAAACACACCGACATACTCGACGAGATCTCGGTGCCTCTATCCGCCAATCTCTGGATAATCGATTCTGACTTGGCAATTCGGCCATCGTCTTCCAGGGTATGCGGAGACGAGATAGCCGCCCAGAACTGCACCGTCCCCGAAGTCAATGGGTTCTTTTCTACGATTCTATCAGTCCCTTGCGTTCTGGCAAGATTCCCTCCCGGTGGTCACGGGCGTAGTATGCGACACGCCAAGGCACGAATTCAGGGCCATCAGAAACTAGGAAGGCGCTCAGGGGGAGAAATCAGAAGCATGCCTGGAAGCTTTCCCGCCTTGCCGTCGCCGCCGGACTCGGACTCGGAACAGAAGACGGGCAGGATTCTCCTCTCCAATGAGAGCCCAATCCTGCTTGTGAACACGGCAAGCCTCGATGTCTTGAACCACATCATCGTCGCTAAGGGGGGAAATCCGGTGCCTCCCGCTGCATTCCGAGGCAATATTGTCATAGGACCTTCGGCGGGTTCGGGCGGGGCGTCAGACGATCTAGCGTATACTGAAGATAACTGGTCGAGCCTAAGGATCGGGGTGCAGCAGTTTCAGTTGATGGGCTCCTGTCGACGATGCCAGATGGTCTGCGTCGACCAAGAGACCGGAGAGAAACGCGAGGAACCGTTTGTCACATTGGCAAAGACGCGACGTTTTGATGGCAAGGTGTTTTTCGGAACACATATGCGTCATAAAGCCCAGTCTGGCGCGCAGACGAAGGAGACCCAGTTCCCGACAATCCGGATAGGGGATGCCGTTCATATCGATGCGTGAAAAAGAAAAAAAAAGGGGGGAGGGGGGATTCCGTTCGGCAAGGGATTTCCCAGTCCATCTATCTTCTGCGAACTTTGTCGCTAGATATTAGAACTGATGGCTGAGGGGAGATACGACAGCTATGACAAAACCTACGACGAGATGAGACTACGACACGCAATGGTCTTAAGAAGTAAGATCAATATTCGAATATGCGCTGTTATTCTTAGGGGTTTTCCGAATGCCAACTCCCATAAATATCACGCAGGCTGGGTGAGTGGATGAATAGATGGCACTGGGCAGATGGGAGAGTCGAGTACGAAGTGAGCAAACTTGCCATTCCCGCTGTATCGTACACCGTAATGTAATGCTTCTGCCGTCGCAACATTATACACCCAAAATGACCGTATCATCTCACATTTTCACGTCGCGTTTCCTTCAATCGCGACGTATGACCAACCACCAAGCCCGTATTCCCAGTCAACCCTGTCCGACAAGGCGAATGGTTTCTAGATTCCCGTCTTCACTTGGGAGGGCTCGGAGGTCCCTCCGTGAAACTAGATTGGCCGGGTGTCAGTACACAATTCTTATATGGGAGGAGGAAGAAAAAGAAAAGAAAAAGAAAAAAAAGACAAGAGAAAATGTTACTTGGTTGCAGTCCGTCGCCATT